TTTTTAGATTCCTAAATCTAGATAAGTTTGATTAGTTTTTGCAAGCTAGCATGTCGTATTAACTCAGAAATAAAATCGTCCAATACTAATTAGATAGGTCAATTCAAAATAGTCAATTGAGCTTTCGTAGGGCAATAATGTCGCACAAGAAAAAGGGTTAGCTAAGCACTCTTCCATCAACTTATGTCTTGTTGGTGATTATGAAATGTTCCCTATGTTTGGCCCGACTTTTAGATGTGCTTTTCGAGTTCAAAAGTTGAAGTAGAGCCAAACACTTCTAAAAGCTCGGCTTATGAAAAGCCAAAAAGTGCTTTTGCATAACATAAAAGCAGAAGCGAAGCTCCGATTTGGAGCTTCTGCGAAAAGCTGTTTTGAAAATTCAAGATTATCCTTACCATATTTTAATTTTATTTCAGAAAATATAATTTTTCATCATTTACATCATTTTAAAAATAAAATAAATTATAAATTTATATTATTTAATATAAAAGAAATCTAACAAGATCAATTTTCCTACTTTTTATTGTTTAGAATTTTTATTCATATTTTATATTATAAGTCCTTTATAGTCATTTTACATAACCTCTTATATTAAAAAGCACTTCTAATAGTTTTACAGCCAAACCGTCAACTACTTTTTTTTAAAAAGTACTTATCTAAAAACTCCAGTCAGAAACTGCTTCTGCAAAAGCTATAACTGGCCAAACTAAGCTAACAATTAGCCATTCTTATTTACATCGGCCAATAATTTTCTAGGTATTTACCGTGTGCTCACCCAGACATTTTCCCTAATAGCTAATCATTGTTATAGTTAATGACTAGTCTCGACTAGTCAACTTCTAACCCACTATTCTTATGAACAATCTTAAACCTAATTAATTTCATATTTTCGCTATAATATAAAATATTTATAAAAATTATCGGGAAATTGTATATTGAATTTAGCAATTAGGATTAAATAAGTTGTGATAATATTATGTGATTGGTTAAGCGAATGTATACGATTGCATGAAAAGAAGATACAATTTAAATCAAGTAAAACTTTCATTAGCAATATAAAAACGACGTCACAAATGGGATTTGAGTACACAATCTTCTTGTATTGTGTCTTTGTTTTAATTTTAATTTTTGTTAATGCGTAATAGTAATAATAATAATGTAATTATACAACAAAAATACCAGGAAAAGAAGATACAATGGGAAAATATCGAAAAACATGGGTCTTGTTTGTTGGGCGATTGAAGCCGTGATGAATTTGGAGAGGTGTCCCTGTCCTTAACCTGGACGGTTGGCCGGGTCCCAGTTGGTTTGTGAAAAGTTCTATGCCAATATTCCACATAAAATATTTTTGATTTCTACCCAAACAAAACAAAATTATTTAGAAAAAAAAAAAAATCCAGGGTGCAAAATGAATTAAATACCCGAAACTTTTGCAGACCGACCAACCAGAGGTCGCGTGCATTAGATGTGTTCAAAAGGGAGACTGAAATATAAATTTATTTTTCTTCCTTGTTTTATTATTATTATCCGTTTATTATTATTATTATTATTATTATTATCCGTTTTTTGTTTTCTTACCAAACCTTAAACATTTAAAACTATTAAGTTGTATGTCAATTTTAAGCTTTGCACTTTTCTTAAAAATAACAATTTTTAAAACCAGCGCTTTAAGGAACTAAAATAACGACCAAAGGCCAGCCCTTTACATGGTCTCCGTGTCCCATTCTTTTCTCCCAATTTGGTTGATACTAATGCTCACTTGATCGAGCCTTATATGACATTAATGTTGGGCACCAATCGATTCGGTTTAGAATTGGATCAAATTAAGTTGGAATTGAAACAAAATTAAAAGAAAGTTGGAATCAATATCGGATCAAAAGCACATTGGTTTATTTGATTCATTCCGTCCCGTCGAAATTTAATTTCAATTCATTTTTTCTTCTTTTTATTGAAGATAACTCATAGGATCTAAAAGGAATCGAAATAGATTTGATCTCATTCGATCCATCCAAATATCAATCCAGTACAATTCTAAAGAGAACAATGCTCGGACTTATTATACGCGATGGACTGCACTTAATGGTACATATGTTAATTTTGAACAGTCAGATTCCTGGTTGATATATCACTATTATAACCGAGAAAATGCTAACTATATATGATGGATATCAGCTAGGGTTTGTGCCCTGTATATCACGCCACCATATAGTTGACCACAAGTTGTCATGGTGCCCAGCTTAATTACCCTAGTGGATACGAAAATCAATATTAAACTTACCCTTGTGCTAGACATGCTATATATCTAGCATGCATTCACTTCTTTTCTTTATGTTGGTAGAATAGGCATTCAATTCTTGAAGATGTACGCTATACATTTTTCTGGCGATCATCATTTTTATTGATAACCTAAACATAATTCATTTACCTTCTAAACGGAGGAATATAATAGATATAATTTTAATTTGGGGGTGAGAGGCAGTTTGGCCCGTTTGTCCCCTTCAACAGGGATACACAAGGGATAATATGTTATTTATGATCAAAATCTAGAATGAACACTTCAAATATTATTAATTTATGTTGTCTGCCTAGACTAATCGCCATAATCATTAGTCTGATTATATGCACCACGCTACTATATTAATTGCTGCTGCTGTTTCAGTGCCTGGGAATTGATCAACATATTAGATTTACATTGAATTCATTACTGCATTTTCCAATGTTGAATATTGCACTCCTTAATTAACCGCATGATGTTAGTCTACACTAATTATTAGCGCAGTAAATATAAAATAGTAATATGTAAGTGACACCTTCTACACATAGAGTGACAAGGACTCCTTTTTGTCATTATTATGGATCCATTCAATGTTAGCTAGAGAGAGTACTATACAGTGTTGCCACACAACAGTAGAAAAGAGAAGTGTTCAGAACACAGCAGTGAAGAAAATTATATTTTCTAACCTTGGGAAAATTTTGGCCCAATATAATAAGGATTTGCAAGAGGAAGAAAAGCAAAGACGACTGCAAAGATCCTTACATTAGAAAAATATCTGGGACTCCCATGAAGTATTGCATAAGGAGTTGTATGGTGAAAATTAAATATGGAGTATGATGAGAACTATGTTAATGAGAGGCCGATTGCTTGCTTAGTGCAGCCTTTACAGAATTCATTTGCTAGGATTATATTCACTCGAATCTTAAGAACTCTAGCAACAATGATAAATTCGATCTCCTGTAAATTTCATACTACCAATGTTCACCAAGTGAGTTTATTGGCATATTACTCTACCATATATATATATATATATGTGGTTAGGTTTCTAGGTATAGGAGAGTCACTACAGAATACCATTCATGTTTCTGATGACATGAGTCCTTTATACATCTAAGTGCAATAAGGTTAGGACCTTTTTCTTGAAGTTTGAAAGGCCCTATTCTTAGTCTATGTTGCCACTAACAACGAAATCTGGTCGTGTAGATATATCAAAATCTTTCAACCCAAGAGATCGAATTGAGCTAGCATTTTTTTTTTTTTTTTTTTGTAAACGACCACTGAACTTGTGCATCTAACATTGAAGTTGTCTTGGGCTACTTGATTTATAATGGAAACTGAATCACGAAGAAATAACTGTGGCTTAACTATGGAAGCATGAATCCTCTTAGAAATTGAGTGATAAAATTGGTGATCATTTGGTTGTTTAACCAAGGCAATCGTCTTACGTGTATGATAACCATATGCTCAATTCAGCCGTATGGAGGTTATGCTAACTGATATTTATTAATTCTTCCCATTTGAGTATGATATGTTTTTTTTTATCGTCGTGAAAATTAAGATAATTGGCTTATTTTTCAACCAATAATTTATTGTGCGATTCTGATTACCTCTCTTAAATTATAAAATCCACGAGGACGTTACCCATACAAAGATCTATATTAGTGTTGCAATTTTGGGTTGAGTACATGGATACATTTTGTGTTGTTAGTTGAGGCAAAGTGGCAAGGAAATGTTTGGTTTAGGGGTGTTCAAATGGTTACCATGGTAATAACCAAACCAAATAAGTCTTAATTCTATTAACCATGGAATACAATATCATAACCAAACCGTCCAAACTAATACAACAATCAAATTAACCAAACTAAAGTTTATTCGGTTTGATTAATTGGTTAACCAAAATAACCAATATAACACCACATTATCATAAAGTAAGAAAATTTTCAGTTAGTGCATCAATTCGCAATTTATATAATGAACAACACATAACAATCCACATAATTGTAGTTAACCCTTAACGTAAATACATGTAACAAATACAATTATCTTATATTTGACTCTTGAGTGGTTATGCAAAGTATTAAGTATGTGTATACAATATATGTTATATATATGGCAAATTACTTAACTGGTTAATTTGGTTTGATTGGTTAGGAGTGTCTGAAACCAAACCAAACCACCTAAACCAAACAAGCTAAATTTTTTAACCAAACCAAATTAGCCAAATACTACTGGTTAAAATGGTTACCACAGTAACCACACCGTTTGAACACCCCTAGTTTGGTTAGTTATTGCATGTGGGTTTCACTTAAAAGAAGTGATCAAGATGGTAAAGTTCCCCTCATAGTTTTTTTTAACCCTAGCTTCCACAACTCAACAAAAAAAAAAAAAAAAAAAAACCAACAACAATATTAGTTAGTGTAATGGAAACTAAAAGTGGTGAAGATGGAATATGATGAATTGAGCTTTGTATAGTGAGATGTACGAGTCTCTATCCGTTGCTGGTAGAGGGGATGCGAAAGCCCTCTTTCCTTTCTCCCTTTCTTTCTTTCTTTCTGTCTCTCTCTACAACACAACATCATAATAATTAGCAATCGATCAATTGTTGAGATGGTTAGCTTCTCCATCACCCATTTTCTTCCATGCCATCCCACAAAAGCCCTGTTCCTGCCATCAACCTTCTCCCCACTCACATCAATATATATTATTAGGGCGTGTGTGGGTTTATTCTTTTCTTCTTTCTTTTTGGGTTTCTTCATATTAGATTTATCTTTTTTGGGTTTTGGTTTGCTTCTTATTTAACCCTACCCCTTCTCTCTCCCCCATTCCTCTCAGCCTCCTTCCTTCCTTCCTCTCTTTCTTTTCCCTTTCCACCTGCGCAGCTTGTTCTTTCCATTCTTTTGCGTTCCTCGGGATCTGATCTTTCACTTCTTTGCTCTTTTGGGACGAATATTTAGATACAGTCCTTGCTTGCTAGTTCCTCACAAGAGTTTCTTTCTGGTTTAGGGTTCAAGCTAAGTCCCGAGGAACAATATATAGCGAGCTGCTACCTTTTTTCTTCTTCATCCATCAGGCTTATCGATCGTCTTGTTTGGAACCAGATCTAGAATAAGGAAGGTGGTGTTTTCCTGGCTTGCTTTAGGGCGATCCAAGCTTCTCGACGTACGTACGTACCAAAATATCATCTAAGGTTGGCTATTTCTATACCTTCTCACTATCTTCAACTTCTTCTTCGCTTATTAAAGGTGATGACCATCGCCATGTTTATTCTAATTCATATATATGTGGAGTTAGCTAGATCACAGAGTTCACGACTTACTTTCTGGATAGTCATTCATGTCAATCTCTTAGTTTCTTCTCTTTCCTTTTCTTTACTTCTCATCTGTCCTTAGTTAGTTTAGTTTGGAAGTAACAGGCAAGACACGTAGACACATATATATATATAACCTTATTTTCTTGTCTTAAGTAAATATGGAAGATGATTGTTTGTCCATATGGATATGTTCATGCAGCCAATATTCTCTTAGTTGTGAGTTCGCAATTTTCTTTGGTTTGCTTTGAAATGCATTTATTTCATATAAACTGATAAACCACTTTCATTTCTACCTCATTTCTTTTCGCAATCGCATTCCTTCTTTACCTTTAGCTAGTACGTACAACAGTTGGAAGTGTTTATGCTTAGGCCATACTCTTCATATGGTCCAGTCCAGGTTCGGTTTCATACATGTTTGTTTGTCTGTTTGTTTTACTTTTAATTTTTTTTTTTGTTTGTAAATTGTAATGAACATGTCTGGTAGTTAAGTGTGGCATGATGAATACCTCCAGTTAGTGCGTTTTTCTCAGATGGATAAAGCCTTCTAATAGTTTCTTTCTTTTACGGAAGACAATTATGTAAGCCTAGTGATAAGAAAAACTAATTGGTCTCCACTCTCTAGCTAGCTAGTTCTACCATGAATGCAACAATATATATATATAATTAAGAATATTTATGGTATTGATTATGTATTGATGAAAACACTATGATATAATTATAAATTTATTTGAGAATTTTAGCTTTTGAGAGTTTTGGCAGGGGTGTCCACCACGCTTGCGCTGGCTATTTCGATGCCCTTCTCTTTGTTTTTGTTCTAATTTTGTTTTATTTGTTCTTCTTCTCCTTGTCTCGGGTGTGCAGGGGTTTTTCGGTTTACCTAGCACCTTTTTTTCCTGTCTTTCTGGTCAGCACTCCTTGTGCTACTGTTTTTCTTTCTTCTCTTTGTACTGACTTTCTTTCGTTTTATTTCAATTCAACCATCACCATTATAAAAAATAATTATAAACTTATAATGTGACTAACAGTATGGATGAATGATTGTGAAAAACAAACATACTGTACTTTCTCGAGTTTGATATGAAAGGAAATTCATGTGATGAGTTTGTTCATATATATATAATGCTTGCTATTGTAATTAGAAGTTCAGCTAATGAAAAATATCCAAATGTCAAAAGCTATATATGTTCTTCTTTAGAGGCAGCCAATGAATGTCGGAAAATTCTAATTCATTAGACTATCTATTGCGTGATTATTTTGAGATGAGCCTCTACTATTAGTGAATTACGTTATGTCTTTTCAAACACGATATTGATTCCAAAAAATTTAAAAACTGCTATGAACCTAATATCGTTCTTAAAATATTGCTACAGTACCGATCACTAAACAAATTATGTTATGATCGCACGTCATTACGGTTATGTTTGCTAATCCATGTATTTAGTGAAATTATAGATGCTTTTATGTTGGCACACACACAATTATTTTGTAGAACCACTACCACACTTGATTATTTTCCTTTCATATTAGGTGTGCGCAATCCCTACAAACATGGAGCATGCAATTAATTCGTTAACACCATCTTTGTGTTGTATGTCAATTTGTGAAACCTCATAGACATGCTTCTTCTTCTCTAATCTTCTCGTTAGTCTCTTGATAATCATCCAATAATTCCTCTAATGTACATATTCTTCAACATTTGTGAGATCTCATATGCTCCTTCTTTGATTAGCTTTGTGTGCAGAGGGACAGTTGCGGGCTTTGAAATGAATACCTTTTCACATGTTCCCCCGGGCTTTAGGTTCCACCCAACAGATGAAGAACTTGTTGATTATTATCTGAGGAAAAAAATCGCTTCCAAACGAATTGATCTGGATGTCATCAAAGATGTTGATCTTTACAGGATTGAGCCATGGGATCTCCAAGGTACCAAAACAAATGAAAAATAAAACGATGCAATTCCTCATGGCATTAGGAAAACACATATTTACTTACATTTTTTTGTGTGTGTGCGCTTTATTTGACACTAGAGTTGTGCAAGATCGGGACTGAAGAACAAAATGAGTGGTACTTCTTTAGCCACAAGGATAAGAAGTATCCAACTGGAACTCGGACCAACCGAGCTACAAAAGCTGGGTTCTGGAAAGCCACAGGTAGAGACAAGGCTATATATTGTCGACATAGCTTGGTTGGAATGCGAAAGACTTTGGTCTTCTACAAAGGAAGAGCTCCTAATGGGCAGAAATCAGATTGGATCATGCATGAGTATCGACTCGAGACAAATGAGAATGGAGCTCCTCAGGCAAGTGAAGTACTAATCTTTGCATGTCCTCCTACCTACCTTGAAAACCATAAATAATTCCACATTGATAATGTAATCTTTACATAAGTATCATTGGGTAATGTTATTAACAACTCACCCCTAAAATCTAGCTTCTATGCAAGACTTTATTTCACACTTATGAAGCTATATATATGCTAACACTTGGATTCTTTGACAATTAATGGGAGATGACTTACAATAGAGTAGTGTAGTGAGTCATTTCTTACCATATGATATTCTATAACTTCATGCATATATAGTTGCAAATCATTAGACAATCCTTTTAGTATTATTGATGTGATATATTATTTTAAGTTCAACTAACACTTCATTTCATCGATAGCAGGAAGAAGGATGGGTCGTTTGCAGGGTGTTTAAGAAGCGACTACCCACAATTAGGCGAATAGGAGAGTATGAATCACCATGTTGGTATGATGATCAAGTTTCTTTCATGCAAGAGCTTGATTCTCCTCGACAGATTCCTCATCACCAACATCAACAACCTTATCTATCACCATCATCCTCTTATCTTCATCACCAGCATCAGCGTTACTTGCACTGCAAGCAAGAGGTGGATCAGTTGCAATACAACATGTCTCAAAGCCATCATCAACACCACCACAACCTCGAGTCTTTCCTCCAGCTTCCCCAACTCGAAAGCCCTAAACTACCAAGCAATGCAAACTGCAACAACTCATCTTCATCTATGGTTCCCAACTACTCCTATGAAAAGACTGTACTCCTGCAAGAGGAACTACTCACCCAACAAAGTCATCAACAACATCATCATCACTTGAGTTCTGTTTACAATAGCAACGCGACAGATGATCAAGAGCAAGCGGTGGCAACTGATTGGAGAGTTCTTGACAAGTTTGTTGCATCTCAGTTGAGCCATGAAGTTGCTAGTGCTTCCAAGGAAGCTAATAACAACAACAACAACTACCCAAACACCCCATCATCTTCATCCTCCTTTCAAGTGGCTGATGAGCAACATATGAATGTTGCTACCAATGATGACTCCAAGAGGTCAGAAATGTTGCATGAGTTTGCTACCAATGATGACTCCAAGAGGTCAGAAATGTTGCATGAGTATGCCTCAACCTTGACCTCTGACAGCCAGATTGATCTTTGGAAGTGATCATGTACTACATAAGCACATATAAAGCATATACATTACCAGAAGACTGGACCAGATGGATGCATACTAATATAACTACAGACTATTAGGCGTATAGCAACCCATAGTAAGCGTGCATATATGGCTACTTATATGATTTGGACATATAGAGTGTGCCATTTGGTATTTGATTCATTAATGTTATGAACTAAAGTATATATATACACTTGTGTAGCTACTTGGTAAGGACTAAGAAGGGGCCAAAACCACTAATCTTATAATAAGGTAGTATATTTTACTATTGGCCGGTGTGAGTTTTTTTTTTTTAATCAAGAAGAGACATACTATATATGTATTTACTATTGGTGTACCGATGTTGGATCACCTTATGTGTAATTTTTTCCCTTCAAGTTTTGAATGAAGGCTCATATATATAATTACTGGCCCAGCCACTTATTTCTATCACTAATCATATTCTTGTAGGCATAATTTTATAATTATCGATCTCATTGTCACTAAACTATAGTAAGGTGACTGATTGTTGATATCATGGAATTCTATGGACCATATACATGATGGACCAGCATGCATGCCTATGACACAGAGACGTAATAAGACCGTCCACAACATTTCAAACTGAATTCACGAAAAAAACAAACAAGGAAAAGAAAGAAAGTTCCCTTTCCTTGTCATATGTAGCTTTGTTTCTCTTCTAAGTTAATATACGTACTTGCTTCACTAATACCCTAAACAATGTATGAAGTAATGAAGATAAAGCCGTCTGTATAATGGGTGGGGACAATTCCGGAAAATCTTATTAAAATCAAATATGAAATTTTAATAACTCGAGCCGATAGATTAGTGAAATTATATGTATACTTTTATTTATGTAAGCAGCGAACTGTTCTTTGCTAACTCACTCAAATGCAGGTCATAATATATATATGAGAAAATTCTTTAAAAGTAATCATTCTGATGAATGTGCATATATGCATGGAAAAACTTCATCGATGAATACGAACTCTACTATACCGTAGAAGGTGTCTTGGAATGATCCTTTTTCGAGCAGTTTGGTTCAAGCAGTTTATCGATCGACAACAACAACAAGAAGTTCATATAAGATAGACTAGAGACAGAAAATACTACAGTTTTTCTCAATGATCAGAACTTCAGATCATGAAGCGAGCAGCTGAGAATTTTGAGTCTCTCCTACAAGCTAGCTTTGTCGTCCCGATTCCCACCCATCTGAGACATGCATGCACAAGCAACGAAACTATCAATACCTTACCATCCAAATTTCCTATTTCAGCCTTTCGTTATTTTTCATACAAGGAACGACAATATTAGAGCTATGAAGAAGATTCTTAACTTACCATGGAGGTGGCATCGAAGAAGAAGAAGAAGGTGGAGAGAATGAGCCGGCCAGGGACCTTGACCGAATGAAAGATTGAGTTTGAATAAATGGTAACTATGGACCATATGGAAGGGTATCTATATATGTATAAATCTGACCCACAAGAAAAGATGAATTCCTTTAGCTAGTAGCTCTAGTAATGATCGTGTTCACGATCGAGGGAGGCAAAGAACGAAAGAAGCAACAATTCACGATCGTGTTCACGGCCGATGGACTGGTATATATGTGAAGGCAATATATATAAGAGGCATGCAAAGCAAAATAATGAAATATATATGAGTATGAGATCAAACTCCCTTTTAAGCAATGTGAAAACCTTAGAGGCGTTAATGTTTTCTTGCTGCCTAAAAAACCACAGACATAATGAGTGCGGCGTGCTGTTCAGTGTTCACCCTCATCATCATGGCAGGCAGCGGATCCATCGAGTTATTACCTACATACATGTTGTATATATAGCTTTCCTTTGGATTGAGACTCACGAAATTGATGGACAAGTTGGCTAGCTAGGTAGCCGACTTAAAACACAGCCATATATTAGAAATTATCGACATCTCAACTAGTAAATAAGTGGACCTTTTTCATTCAAATAAACTTTTTTTCTTCTTCTGTAAGTGAAGCTTATTAAATGTAGTATATAAATTGACTTATCAGGAAGAAGGTTTATCCTGTATATTCAACAAACAAAAACCATGTCATGTGATGAGCTATGATTATTTGTCTTGAGATTGCTTTCGGAGCAGTTCACATCCACACATTTATCCCCACTTCCCTCATCAGAATGACAATTATATATAAACAACATTATCATTGCGATGGAAAGTGTTCTTAAGTTCAAGTAGTCAATCCTCTTTCTTTCTTTCTTTCTTTCTTTGTGGGATCAGACTAGCTAGGTAGACGAATACGATGTTGTGTTAGCATTATGACATTGGTTCAGTACTTTTATACGTACACATACTGGACGTCCAATGCATGGGCTCAACAATATATATATATATATATATATATATATATACGTGGGCTACTCTACGCGTACAGTACATGGGCGTATATATACGGGTTTACTAATGCTCAGCAGTACCATCCAACCAAACTAATTTTATACTAATTCTAACCAACCATTCTTGAAGATGTCCAAACCCTATATAATTTTGTACCATACCAGAGAAGTGACGACACTTGTTGTTGGTCCAAACCTGAACAGTTTTGGCAAGTCTTGGGGCTAATAGGCGTGCAAAAGAAAGACAAGGCAAGGCCAAGAGCGAGCATGAATATTGTCGGAGGGCACAATATTCCCTGATTGGGAATGCAAGAGTGGCAACCGTTAAAAGGAGACATTGCTCTATTTCTTTCTTCCTTTCATGTTCCCTTCTCGAAAGGATCGGTTGCTTTCTTTCTTTTGCTGCCGCGTGGTCCACTTTCCGTATTAACAAACTGAAGGCCGCAAAAGTAAAGGGCAAGCAACTTGCATAAATTGGGCAAATGAGGAAGAATGAAGGCAAAGCGTAGCATGCATGATTGGTTTTGTTTTTATTAGGGTTGGTTGGTAGCAGTAGTCAGAATTCGAGTTTAGTGGGGTCTCATTTACGAAAAAAATCTTATAACATTATATTCAATTATTAAGTACATTTTCTTAAAAATATTCAGTCAAGTAGTCATTCATCAAACCATTAGTTATTAGATTTGTACCTTACATTTTGTGTAATTCTTAATTGAAAATTGACATTTCAATAACTAGCTAAAATAAATAGTTCCCAAGCAGAATCTAATACACACAAACGTTTTATAAAACACATTTGAAGACAAAGAAATTTTATATTGATAGAAAAAATTTGTTGAACTAAGAGCTTTTTAGATATAGCTTGAGGTTTTGTACACATATTAGTAGAATTAGAAATTTATAGAATAAGGACTATTAAATTGGGGATTTTCAATGATATATGACCAATATAATCTAATTTATTGGTGTGTTTCATAATACTAGGACAATTAAATTTCATATGAATGGGGTTCTGAATTCTAAATCTACCTAAATTAAACAAGTCTGTACACACATTTAACCATTTTAATTTACCCAAGTGGGGTCTAGGACCCCACTCCCTTCCAGCTCCCTCCACCACTCGTTGGTAGATTACTTGACTTGGGAGTGAGTCGAGTCCAAATTTATGGAGAAGTAGAACATGTTTAGGAATGACAATGGGGCAGGTCCGGGGCGAGTTTCCGGGTACCTAGACCCGTCTCGTGGCAGGTCGGGTCCAGGTCGGGTAATTTATCACGGGTTGCGGGTCGGGGGCAGGTCAACCCAATGGGTATGCAATTTATATGAAAAACATTAGAAATATTCGTTATTTTTATTATAAGACCAAGAAAATAAAAAATATTATGATAAATGTAGTTGAATTATTAGAGAAAGTAAGGTTTTCATTAATTTACAACTTTATAATAGCTAAAATATGATGTAATAAAAGGAAAACCTTAAGTAATTTGACTAAAATTACATGTAATTTAGGCAAGAAATGGTCGAGAATGGGGCGGGTCAGGGCAGGTCGGGTAGAAGAGAATACTCATGCCCGCCACGTCCCGCCTACAGGGCGGGTCGGGCCCACCCAAAAACAGATCAAACAGGTCGGGTAAAATGAGTCAGGTCGAAATTGCCATCCCTAAACATGTTGTCACTAGTCCATCTGTACTCAAGTTAGTTTATTGTATGTGAAAGGTGACGTATGAAAAATGTAGAGGGAATCTTATAAAAATTAGAAATGTTATCAAAACGGGAGAAGAATGAGAGATTTCCCCCTTGTAAAACTCAAGATAGAGTCCATATAGGTAATGACTTCAGCTCTAGCGTTTAACATTTTTAGCCGTGTTATTTGAACTGTATTGTAATTTGTACCCACGATCTTGCTGGAACTCAAGCAAGTATAGTGATTTTATCGGTATGAGATGGTTCAATCAAGGTTAAATAATAGTGTAAGTACAAACTACACTACTACGAACGTAACCTCTACCTAACACTCGCCCTTCTACCTCTACCTCCTACCTCTCTTTTCTTCCTTTCGTTCCTACCCTCTGTGCTTTAACATGGAACCTCTGCGCTTTTTTCCTACCTTAGATAGTTTTATCACTATAAACTAATCTGGCTTCCTAGTGGTTCATGCATCACACCTATGATGCACTCACTCCCGCTCTTTCCCTTCTCCCCTCGGACTCATATATTCTCTTCCTCTCCTTCTTGTTCTAATTAAAATGCAAGCAACTTCGTTTCTTCGCCCTACGGGCTCATAATAAACCTATGACCGCTTTTCGGGCTCACATATTCTCCCTTTCAGTCGAGCTATACAATCATATGGTTTTACAATTCTTGATTTAATTTTTAGCAAGCACTAGAGGCGATCCTCTATAGCGGCCCCTATTATTTTCATTTTTGCTAGCTAGTTGACCTCTTGTTTGCAAGACTATCTTCCTCAGCATTCTGCCACCATCATTGGTCCAAAACCTGAACACAATAATGTTGAGTGACTGTAGACGTCGCATAATAATGGCTTCCCCTGCTTCAGAAAGTCTGGGATGAATGTTAACCTCAGAGATTGGGATGGACTAAATGGAACTCAGCCACCTCCACTGAGATTAGCCCGTGCCTTGACGATTCAGGCCCACATTAATGTCAAGTTGGAGACAATAACATGGCATGGAATTTCAGAACAGGGCCACCAGATTGTACAAATTCTGTTTACATGAGGGAACAGCACGCAGGAAACTAAATCATTGCCCACAGTGATTCCCTTTAATTTCTGTCCTCTCAATTTTGGCCTGGCAATTCAACCCAACCAACCCGGTTCGTTCACAACGATCAGAGTCTGTCGAAAAGCGCGACGTTCGTAGTAGTTCATTCTCATCATATCTACAATGACATTACATGATAAGTATGTAACTACAATCCTGTCCCTGCTGCTCCTCCCCAATATCAAGCATAGAAACTGGATTGTTCTGGTTTGTGGAAAGACTTCGTTTCAGCATGCTTCATGTACGGGAACAAATCTGAGTGATGGATCTATTTGGAGTCACAGAGACCAGACGATTCGTCACAGAAGCCGTCGCGATCGAGGATCTTCTGAGGGGGAGCACTCAACAATGGGGAAGATGGGGAACCATAAGCATTCCTCCTCTTGTTGCCACACCCTAAGCTCAATCTGGTGTCCACCCCTGTTGCTGGATTTTTCCCACTCGCATACTTGCATAGTGCCTACACAATTTACATGCACATGTAATGGTACATCATTACACTCTTCTTTAGTTACTACATCGATGGTTTGGTTTCAGAAGATACAAGACAATGTTACCTGCTTCTGGGTAAGGTCAAGAACTGCATCACTGAAGTCAGCACCTTCTATAATGGCACCACCCAAATCGCTTCGGGTTAGTACGGTTCGAACCAGAACCGCATTGGTTAGGTTAGCTTCGTTCAGAACCTGTGTAGTGTAGATATGAGAACCGTAGGAAAAGCAAAACCCATACATCCAAAAACTGCTAACTAATTGGATTTTGCTTTGTGACAGACATTATTCTCACCATGCGATCCATCAATGTATCGCTCAAATCAGCACCTGTTATCAAACCGTTAAACATTCGTTAACTACAAATCCAATCAGTAGCAAAGCATATGTATTAGGTTTTTCTAATTAAGGCCCAGCAATTTATGGACCCATAAAGAGCCCTAATGGAATTAGCGAATTTCCCTTTTCTTTCCTACCTTCCTTCCTTCCCTGATCTACAGTCTCCGCATTGCAGAAGAAGTCTTGTGCTACGGGATTCTTTGACTTCACACCTCTTTTCTGTTATCCACTTCATTCAGTAAGAGCGTCCTTTCTCTATCTCCAATTTCCACTCTTACACACAGTCAGAAGAGTCTGAGGTTCTTGGCTTACCAGTTTGTACTGAGCTTTTCCCCTCTGCTCAGGGCAATGAAGGCTGATGCAATCTTGAAAAGGTTCGCTTCTTCTCTGGGTTTCGTCGTCACTTCATTCAGTGGTTTTTCAATTCTTCGGTTAATTTCTTCTGTTTCTTTGGTCAGTTTGTTGTGTCCGCGGTGTTTTCTCTTAAAATTTCGAGCTTTGACGCGTTCTCTATACTTTGGGAAAGTTTCTCAGAATGGAAATCTTCCCGATTTGTTGAGTACCCTCTTTGTATTGTGGTTTTGTTTGTTCACTAAGAATGAGTTGGAACCCAGTCATGGGGTGTAAACTATACGCCTAGCCCTAGCAAAATTTTGTCTTGTACGCTAAGCTTCTGAAAAGTGTTTAGAGAAAAGTTCCAGTCTTATAAGTGAAGAAAGATCAAAGATAACTAATAATGCCAAGGAACATGGATGCAGGGTCCTCTGTTCCGAAGTTGTGGAACCTTGTTAGTGATACCAGGATCAGGGCAATGGCTAATTGCAACTACAATGGGTTTAGCAGGATTAATAGAAGGAGGTTCCCTCGGTTTGTGATTGATGGTTTTTGCTCGACATGATCCTTATGAGTGTGGGACATCTCATTTTGTTGGTGCAGATACTTGGGAAGTTTCTAAGCTGTTGCTTCATTGAGCAATTGAACGATGGATACAGAGAATGACTCTGATGCTACTACACACAGTGTTGAAAGGACAGTTGGTAATGGATGTGCTAATCCTGATACTCTTAGGAGGCCCAAGAAGGGCAGAGTATTTTGTGTTCGTCGTTTTCCGGTGGGCTGTGGTCCTAATAAAATGCCCTCCAGTGAAAAATTGGGGACCTCGGTTCAGCCATGTTCAACATCATCTAGTTTAAACTACTTGGAAGAAGAAGAAAAGCCAATGAAGGAGAATGATGAAGCTGAACTGGCATTGTCAGTGGGATTACAGAAGTTAGGATTGATCAAGACTTCACCTTCACCTCATGAAGATTTGAGTAAACTGTCCAAGGCAGACTTTCCAGTAAAGGCAAGAGTATATCCACCTAGGAGGAAAATTTCAGGCGTTCGGACCTTCCCACCAGGCTGTGGTGGAAACGAAGCTCAAACTAATCAAGTTGCTACAGGTTTTGTTGGTACTCCACAGACGGGTACTACTGGGGCCAAGGATGAAGAAGAGCACAAAGAGCAGATAATGCATACAGGTACTACTGGGGCCAATGATGAGACAGTGCACAAAGAGCAGATAATGCATACTTCTAATGCCGAAAAGTCTCAACGAGATTCTGAACGCTTGGAGACAGGTAATGGAAATCCAAGCAACAAAGACATAGGCAAACGCCCTGATGTAAAACCATCTACTGATACTGTGATTCCAGGGTCCCGGACGATAGTAATGGCACTGATGGCTCCACAGAATTGCCCGTGGACGCAGAAAAGAAGGGTTTCTAGACCCAAGACAGCCAAAGGAAGAGCAGAAGCCAAAGCTATCAAGTGATTTTGCTAGGACCAGATTCATTAGAAAAAAGGGTTAACTAGCAGTAGTCCATAGACTGATCTTAGCTATCAAGTGATTTTGTTTAGGAAAAGGGTTAACTAGTAGTCGTCCATAGACATCATTAGACAGATGTTAGTGAGAAGGAAGTATCTTGATACTACCCTATAATTCTTCAGCAAGAGAAGCTGAGTGAGGAGATGAATGGAGAGCGTACATACCTGTGAAATTTGCCTTGTAAGCAACTGCTTTCTCCATGTATGCACCATTGAATGTCGAACCACTGAAATCGGATTCTCTCATATCAGCTGATGTAAAATTGGCCCTCCTGTACAGGCAACGAGTGTTAATTCCCCCCTACCACACTTGTTCTTTTCATGGAAGCAACACAACTGACAACAGTATTGGTCTATAAACATTACCTGAAATTCTCATTCACATGAACTGCTTTCCTGAGATCTGCAGAACCAAACTGAGCTGCTGATCCTATACCGAACTCACCCCGAGTGTTGGCTTCATACTTGTTAAGTTCAGCCACTGCATTAGGAACCTGGAACCCACTGGAACCAAAGCTAATAACTGCAGCGGCCAGTGTAGCAGAGACCAATGCTTTCCAATTCTGGGGTCTACCATTATGCATGGAACAATCTACCTTTTCAAGTGAAATCTAATCAGAATTAAAAAAACATTTGAAAGCAATCGACGGCGAATTCAAAATCAACTTCCGCTTACTGTGAAATTGTTCTTCTTCCACTTCATCTCGTCTTGCTGTGGCTGACAACTGAAATTTGAGGGGAGACTTAGGAAGAGAGCGCTGGCGATGGTGGGGGAACTTGGTGTGTGAAATGGAGATGGTGGACTTCATGGGTAATGGGCAGATAGACGTGAAGGCCATTGTTTCTGGATGGAAGGTTTTTGGTAATGGTGGGAGAAGATCTTCTGCAGAAGAGCAAATGGATGCTGTTTTGTGTAACTGTGTGTTTTCTTGTTTTGTTTGCAGCCACTAGTTTTTGCGAAATGGTGAAGATTGGTACACGTTGCGGGATCTTTTGAAATAGTGGGCTTATTGTGGGAGATTAAACGACAATGGGCTGCTTATCTGAGGCCCAGATAAATATTCATCTACCTTGAAGAACATCCTCTGTTAGCCTGGAGTAGGGATGGCAATGGGTCGGGTTGGGTCGAGTTTTGTCAAATCCAAACTCAAACCCATGAGTTTATCTGCTAATAAAATTTGGGGTAAAACTCGCTGAGTTTGAAAAACTCAAACCCAACCCAACCCGCTGGGTATTCGCGGGTTCATGGGTACCCGTGGGTTTTTGTGGCAAAAATTTACAATAATAAGTTTCTTTCAAAATAAAAGTCTAACATCAATTTTCTCATACAAAAAACACCAATCTAGAGCATACAAGCAAAGCGCAATGATCAATACAAATTATTCAAAATTAAAGATAAACAATAAGATTAATTGAAAGCTTCTTCCTCATCAACTAAGTTTCTTCACTCTCCACTTCATAATATCAACTTCATTCTTAACAATTAGAAAGAACAAATTATACATGTCTCCACAAACATATAGATATTAGTTGTTTAAGGAAGATATATTATTTAGAAAATTAAATATACCGGGAAAGTAATTATATGTGTGTGGGCGGGTACCCATGAGGCGGGTTTACCTAAACCCAAACCCAACCCAACCCGGTGAATAGTGTAGCGTGTTTAAACCTGAACCCGGCCCAAAACCCGTCAATACGGATTTTACCCGCGTTGACCGGGTTGGGTCGGGTCGGGTGGGTACCCATGAGTTCGGGTTTTGTTCACATCCCTAGTTAGGAGTTGGGTCATTAATTAGCCAGATCAATCAGACATTGCTGAGTCAATTCTATTTCGAGTTTAAGTTTTTTTTTTTTTAATAATATCGAACTTTAAGGATTCGAAGAACGTTATTATACTTTTTTTTTTAAGTTGAACCCAATTCCAATTGCTTTTCCTCCTTTAAAGCTAAAGTGCTTTAGAAGAGAACGTTATTATACTTGGTGTTCGAAAGCAGCCACAAATCTACAAATATATTATAGAGTTGGGCAATTTTTCAGCATTTCGAATTTTCTGCAATAAGAGCGAGAATAGGAAGGGTAATTGTGTCTTAACAATCATTATTTATTTTTATTCATATGAAACAGAACATCAATATCGTGATTTGAATCATGGTCTTTCTAAATGAAGACAAGAACCACTACCAGTTATACTAAATAAACATTTTATATCTTTTTAAATACAAAATCTGAAAACCTAAAATCTAAAAATCATATGACTTTTCCACTATAGTTAGCTAACCCACTAACTCTCCCGAAAGTACTTTCTTTGTTATTTGATATTTTGATTATTTTAATTTGAGTTTAATAGTAAATTTAATTTATGTCCTCTTACAAATGGAGATTCGAATATTGCATACTGAATTGCAGTATTTAATGTGTAGATGTGATGTATAATTCTTAAATTGATATTAAATTTTAGAACTATTAAAGCAACGATATTGTTTTGCAAACTGTAAGTGGCCAGTTTTTTGAAAGTTTTAGTTTGGTTAATCATTGAATCCTAAATTTCTTTATAATATGGCATGCTTGGAAAATGGGTGAGTTCAAAAGAACACAATTTATGAATACCAAATTTTATAGATGATTTCAATAGAGTAATTGACTAGGTGTATCAATCATAGCTACTTAGTTTAATATGAAATAACACAGTACAAGACAAATCATGAAAGTCAGACTAGATTTTTCATGGACGCGTTGATGGGGTCATGTGCATTAGCAAGGTAGGTACCACATGATATGTTTAATGTTTTTGTTGAGTGAATAAGATTGTCCTCCAACTAAATTTAGAGTATCTTTGTTGATAAATAATTTTTTCATGGCATAGAGTATGGATGAAGAATGTTATTTTCTTACTAATTTTGTTATTGTATTGTTCATAATACTTTAAGGGGTCGTTTGGATTCATGATAATAGTGAGTGATTTGTGAAGAATTTTAAAACAATCCCTCATTATGCAGGATTTTCAATAATTATGTGTTTGGCAACACGAGAGATTGTGAGCATCAGAGATTTTGAAAACCCACAAGTGAGATTTCAAAATAGCTAATGAGGATAAGCTATTTTTAAATCCCACATTCTTATTTTTTTTTTCTTCCATTTCTATGATTCTATCCCTTCTTATTTTATTAAATTCCATCTTACCCTCCATTCTCAACGTCTGATCTCTCTTTTCTTTGCCAATCTTCATTCCCTCCGTCATGGTATCTCCGCGACGATCCCGCCGTGGGTTATGGGTTAGGGTAGTCGACGACAGAAATCAGACAATGGAAAGATGAGGAAGTCACCGACGCGAATTTCTGGGTTAGGGTTTGGGAAAACAATGGCATAAGGTTAAGATTTGTGCCGAACGAACTTCTAGCGGCAGAGGAGAGATCCCGTCGTCTTTCCATCCATCTGCGGATATCGTTTCCAAGAAGAGGAGAAAGGAGAAGAGACATTGATGACGATACCTCCGATCTGGAGACGACCCATCCTCACCTCCAATCCCTGCCACTGATCGTCGGAAAAGACCTTCGATTGTCGTCCGAGATGGCGGCGATTGTAGATGGAAGAAGATGCGATGAGAGCTTGTGATTGCATGTGGATAAAGAAGCACTGGGTCCTTGAATGTGGACGAGATCAGCGGAGCAGATGCAGAAGGCGACAGGTGAAGGTTGAAAAGGCATTGAGGCAACGACTGCAATTCTCGATGGGTTTAGGTTAGAATAAAAGTAAGCGATGAATTGGTGAAGGTGAAGGACAATTATGAAATTTTGGTTAAATGTGAGTTTTTAATTAAAAACCTGCATACATAAATAAAAGAATAATTTGACACAAATCCTACAAATTAAATACTTGGATTTTTATTTGAGAGATTTGGGTCCAAAAACCCTCATTTTAAAATTCCTAATCCAAACGGGGCTAAGTTTTAGATATTGCTATATATGTATTGTTTCTCAATCAAACTAAATAAATAATGAATAAAGATTATCATCATGAGTTTCCTATTTATGCTACTCTTTTTCAGACAAACTCTTTTTTTGTTATGTCATTTTTCTTTTCAACCATAGACAACCAAGTGACTACATCATTAAATAGACAAGTTATGAATGGTTATTCACAAGTGTTATAACCAAGGTTGTGACACCTCTATTGGGCGACTGGTTGGACTAGGTACGACCAAAATCGTGCTCCAAAATGGGCTCTACAAAATCATGTGTATGATTGTTAGAGAGGTAGAAGAAGAGATAGGCAAGGGGGAGGGGGAGAGAGGCAAGGGATGGTGGGTGGATCTTGAGATATGTATGTTTTTTTATGGAATTTGACTATTTGAGTTTTTAATAGATACAAGTTAGTACATTCTATTTCAGTCACTTAATTCTATATTATATGTAAATATATTTAGAAAATGTGTAAAACGGCTCAAACAGGTTGGACCTCAATCAAACAATTAAACTTCAAACCACTTGCTTGACCGACTCAACGATTTAAACTGGTTTGACAACTTTGGTTATAACAATTAAGATTACAATGTTCACCATTGATGAAAAGTTATAAGAATTTTGAAAATGGAAAAATAATTTCGATGTCACCTTAATGTCATGTGAAATTCAGCATTTCAATTAATTTAAAAAATTTAAATACACATAATAAATACATCATGTTCAAATGACATTCCGACCAACGGATCGGACGACAAACTAGTTTTTATCATATGGTTTACATCCTCCTTTTGGATTTCTTAAATAGTTTGAATTTGAGGGATTTACAAAATCAAAGTACAATATAATTAACATATTTTGATTTCGAAGGATTTACAAATTGAAATATGGAATTTAAATCACCAAATTCACATAGTCTGAATTTGAAATATTAATAAAACCGTAGTATGAAAGTTAAATATGGATAAGTAAAAAAGGAATAACATAGCTACTATTGGATATTGAACTAAAGGACCAATGGTCTATTAAGTGATAACATTTTTAAGTATTGACTTTGTTTATGAATTGCACACTTCTAAATTTATCTCAAATTTTAATTTATACATAATTTTCAAAACTCATAAGACACTTATACCTAATTCTCGAAATTCTTGGGTGGCATCTAAGATTGATCTGCCCTGAATATGATCACAGGTATTGTTGTGGATTCACATTCTAGAATTTAGAAACCGGAACATTTCGTGTGTTATTAGCCATTTTCTCTTGTTCTAATGTTTCTTAATCTTGATTCCTAATTTTTGTTTGACGTTACAAAGATGTTGATTTGTGAACTCAATTCTTCTATCAGGTGAATCTCGAATTACTGGCGGAAATCCATCGCTAATGTTTATGTCGTGTTTTTTTCTCCATCCCCATCTTTGTTGACGCATGGACTTTAGCTTTTATACTCTCTGCTCTATCAAAGACATTCAACGTGAAACAACAAACTAACGTAATGATTCGAGAAATACACTTTTTTTTGTATGAGGGATTCAAAAGATTATCTGAGAATGAACCAAAATCCGAAACCATCAAGGAGCTTGTTAGCTTGGCTCGTGATAATTTCAATGAGTATAGTTAATAAACTAGCTAAGTGTTATAAACGCGCTGTTACGGATCGGAAAATCGTCGGAATCGATAAAGTAAGAATACGAAAGCGAGAATCGAAAAAACACAGACACACAATTTACGTGGTTCACTAACACGATGCGTGTTAGCTACGTCCACAGGCGAGAGAGAGTCAGTTTCACTATATCGAGGAGATTACAGAATACTGAGGAATATGAGAAGTATTTATAGTACTTCTCCAAGTGGGTCTAAACCTAATCCAATCTGGCAAAGGAAACGGTTACAGACCAGGCCCAGAGCCCGAACCCAAATAACATTGAGCCCATACACCGTGGGACGGGGGCGTTGCCCCTGGACCCCACTCGCTGACCGGGCAGCGAGACCCCCGACTACCAGTAGTAACGGCTGATAGTCCGATTCAAGTCACACAATACTAATGACAACCACTCTAAGCCTAGCAATGAGGAATTACTCATCCCAAACAGGGAATTGATTGTTTTGCATGATTGATCAACTAATTTTTCTTCCCCTGCTCTCACTTTCTCCAGACAAACAGGGAATTGATTGTTTCCCATGATTGACCAACTAATTCTTCTTAGCTTTCTTGTAATGCAAATAATTGAACGTCTTCTTGATACTTAATATACAATCCACGATTAAAACGATCATTTTTGGGCTTTAATTTGGCTCACCAAAAACAAAAATTGACCTGAGTTTTTTCTTTCTTTTTTCTTTTTCAGATCAACGTACCTATATATATAGTATATAGGCTTTCATCTTTGACTTATATGAATTTTCATTGGTACGTTTGGTAGGGAGGTAGAGTTAGGCCACCACTGCACAGACATTAACATGATGTTGATTGTTGAATGACTTGGAACTCGTTCCTCTTAACTGATCGATCCATGTCTCTTCCTTTTCTTTTGTCTCCATGCATCTCTCTCGCCTCCCTAAACAAACCTTCTTGTTTACTTTACTTTGAAACATCCTAGCTAGCTGGATAAAGGCTTCTATGATAAAGAGTTGCACCATTTCCAAACCGGGCCAATTTTGTTACAAAGCTTGAAAGCCACTCGGTTCGGAGTTTGGAGTCATCTAATTAGTCACGAGCTAAATAATCAAACTTTTTTAACCTTACATAATATAGATTGAAAATTGAATGACATGTGAAGTTTTTTTTTGTTTGTTTGTTTTCGATAACGATATTTGTTAACCTTGAGATTCAAATTCAAAATTTGGTAGGTGGAACGTTCTCATATTATCACTAAGTTAATCTTTCTTTTGTTATGAAAAATTAAGCGATCTCTCTGAATAACACATGAAGATATTTCATGCAAATGGATTTTTTCGCTCGTCCTTTTCAGTGAACTTTTTGTTTTCTTAAATCGAATAAGTTTAAACTTTAAAGTGGTTACACATCTTAAAAATGTTTCGCTCATGACCAAATTTGAGTACCTTTTTTTAGCATTAGCAAGAGAAGCTAGCTATCAGCAGTACAGAATCGATTCATTTCAAAAGTTGGTTCGATCTATGAAGCGGTCGGTCTCAACCATGGAAGACCGTTATACAAGCAATGGAAGAATCCAAGTGAGCGTGAAGGTGCAGGCCAGGGATCGATGGTGGGTGGTCAAGTCGGGCGCGTACGGGAAAGATGAAAGAGAGGCTAAGTTTCTCAAAACCGCAAAGGCAATATTATGGATTAATCCTTTTGTGCTAAGTACCACGCTGCCTGCCTGCACAGCTCCAACCAAACCAAAGACACGACGATCGACGACGGTGCGGTGGCGGTGCCTTCTTTATTGCAAGCAACTGTGTACGTACGTAGCCACATACAGGCAGCAGGCAGGCGCCAGTATTTTGGTGGCAAACATTTAAAAAGCTCGAGCCCTGTGCTACTGTCGCTCTCTCTCTTTATCTCGCAGAGTAAATTGAAAGCATGCATGCAAAAAGACACAGCACAGAGCTAGGTGCTGCAGTGCAGTGGGAGGCTGGCTCTTGTCCAATTGGCGCCAGAGTTTGGCATGTATATTTGTGCCACTACGTACCATCAAGGCTAAAGTATATATCGGATCTATCTACCCGGCCACCCATCTCTCTCTTTCTCTTTCTCTTTATAAATTTCTCCGCCTCTGCCATCTTCTAGTACTGTGTGTATCTATCTGCTGCCTGCCTTACTTACTGCCATGGCTCCTCGCCACTGCTCACGAGAGTTGGGATCATTAACGTCTTTATTTGTTTTGTTGCTCAAACTTATTAACATGGATCGTTGGATCATGCATCTTGTCACCGAATGCAAACTGAATCCTCCTCTTCCTGCTTCTGAAATAGCTGTGTAGTATGTAGTTGGATTTTTTTATTTGATGCAGCAGCCAGCAGGGGTAAAATATATATAGTTGGATCCATCGTCTGTAGAACTGGCAATCGGGTCGGGTCGGGTAATTTCGGGTCTGGGAATTCGATTACGGGTCGGGTCATGTTTGGTTGGCTGATTTCTGGTCAAATATTGACCCAACCCATTCGGTTTCGGGTCGGGTTACAGGTCATTTCGAGTTATGAGCGTTCTCAGAAACAATATCAAACATGCTTCATATTTTCTTAAAGAACACAAATTTTCACATATGCATGATAATAGTTTACCTAACACATGTCAATCAACATATTCCCAAATCCTCCTACGCTAATGAAACGAAATATAAATTGCGCAAATCATCAAAAAACAATCACAAGAGTAATACTACTACAAGAAACACATGATATTTGATTATCCTTATACTCCAAACATGTCATTCAAATCCTTGTGATTTTTTTTAAACATCTCACAAATTTATGAGTGATTTTTATCTTATTTTGGAAGTGATATATAAAATGGAACGAGTCTAACGGGTCGACCCACTAACGCACCCAACCCGATCCAAAAAATCACGGGTTATCGGGTTCGAATCATTCGAATTTCGGGTTACAAAAATTTCTAGTTTTCGAACGGTTTCGAGTTGGGTCGGGTTATAATTTGCTAGTTCTATTCGTTTGATCTGGCATATAGAGATAATAATGATATAGATTGGTTATATTTTGCCTAGTTATCCGATGTGTACTAACTCCCTAGGCTTCTAGCTGCAGCCACCTATTCAATTCTCCCGGCCCATGTTTTTGTATATAGTCCACTTTCTTACAATATTTGCCTTGCTTTTAGCTAGGGGAATGTATATAAAACCCTTTTCCTATTTTGTTTTCTTCAACAACTCCATTATGGAGTTAGAATTACTTTTTGTATAGTATAAGGGTCTTGTTGATGGAAAGGTGTTGCATGTGTTCCAATCTCGCTATAGTAGCATATTGCACACAGATAACTGATGACTTAAAACAAATGGTATTTTGGACTAGTGTAACTGTTATGTTGTGTAAGTTGGCTTTCATTTGGTTTACATAAACCCATCATATATTGTAGTTAATTGATCTTTATTACTGGAGTTACTTAGAAGGATTAAATTTATCATAAGAAGTTTACATCGAAGAATTCTACTTATAAAATCAAGGGGCAATTGTATCAGTAACTCAATTGATAAAAAAAAAATAAGTTTGATAAGAATTTTATACGCGGTTTCATAATTTAGATTCTCAAATTGGATGGAGTTCAATTCCATCTTACTAAGTGCCCTTCATACCCTAAATGTTTAACCAAACAATAAATTGTTCGCCATTCCATTATCAAATGAAAATTAAGTATAATGGGAATCATATTCAAGTTCAATCATCCAAACGAACCGTCAATCACAATATAGGTACACCTACACAATGATGAATTAATTATCTGCTCTCCGATATAATAAAAGCTAAAGTAGTTGACCCATAGTTTTTCGTAGTTGTTGTTGAAAGAGATGAAAATCACCACTAATATTGAACAATAGCATCCAATGGAAGAGTATAGAGGGGTGAAAGTAGTGACAAAGGTGTCATTGGCAAAGTTGATATATATATATATATATATATATATATATATATATATATATATATATATAGTTAGACTTTTCCCGTAGACTACTCAAAAGGCTAGCAAATTTTCTCAGATGACTTTCCCTTTTCACTATCCTTGACTTCCCCTTCCGGGTAAGGAGGGGCTCGAACATGAGAATGGGCATCCATCTTTTCTCACCATATGTATCTACAGCTAGCTAGCTAGCTAAGGTACGGTTAACGTAGCTTTTGTTGCAAAATTTAGTAGCAAAAGAGAAACCCTAGCTAGGGGTGGACGAAACCATGTCAAAGATCCCCTAAAAACTAAAACCAGCCAATAACGCATAAAGCCAAGAGAGCGAAGAAGTGAAGCTATAATGGAAAAGGGGAGAAAAGCTATAGGGAAAGGACAAAGGTGGTGAGAAGCCTGCAAACGAAACAAGGCATGCAAAATTGCGCAAAGACCCTCTGATCACACACATGCTGGCTAAGCTTCTCTCTCTCTCTCTCTCTCTCTCTAGTAGTGTAGTGGAGTGGTGTGGTACTGACTTGAAATAAATGTTTGTGTGTCTGTCGGTCTGCAAGACATAACAGAAGAGGGAATGAGAGGTCAAATCACACACACACTCCAACAGCAAATCAATCTTGAGTATGTGTTTGATTGATATATAATATATTGGCTGTGTCTGGTAGCCCACAGCTAGGAGGAAATTGCGATAAAAAAGAACATCGCCTTGAGAGAGGAGGTACGCGGGACCCTTGAACCCAAAGGCTTCCCTTCATTGTCATGAGATATCATTAGGGCATCATGATCTGTGGAGTCAGTGTAATCTAACGCAGAAAACGACTCATTATAGTTTTTCTTGTTATATGCTTTCATGTCAAATATATTTGTAAGAAAAGCTAGGGTTTTGTGGGACTTATTGAGTGCACGTATATATATATATATATATATATATAGAGAGAGAGAGAGAGAGAGGGGTTGTTGTCCAAGGGACACAGAAATGGCATTGCGGGTTTTTCTAGGGTTCGGAAATTTAGGACAAAGAAACTCGATGCCATCCTTGTTCCTGCCTGCTCTTGTTGTTGGCTTTCGGAAAGCTAGGAACCTAACGATTTTACTTGAGGATTCCAATCTCTCAGGCTAAACCCTATATAGTTCCTTTACAAGTTTTATCATTTTGGTTTCACTACACTAAAATTTATATGGTCACTTGGCCCGAGTTCAGTTTTGTTAGGGTATCCACTTAGCATCAAGAAACAAATTGTCGATATTCTTAGAGTCGTTAGTAGGTTCGGTTATAATCATAACGGTTTATTTGGTTATCTGTTAATCAATAGGTAATTTTTTGTTTTGCTTACCTTTAATCGCATTATTTTTATTAGTATGTTAGTCGTATCCATATAGTTGGTTATCGATTATTATCTCGGTTAGCCGATTAACTGTTTAACAAGTGGTTCGACATATATTAGACCAGAATAATCGATCGGTAACCGAACCAATATAAGACCCATTTTTTTCTTTTTTGAATTGTGGTCTGTAGATTTCTTTTCCTACATATATATATATATGTGTTCTTTTTTTATAATATCGTTGATTTGTGCTCGGCTTGTTGTTCCTATAAGGACTCACAAAAAAAAAATAGTGAGGAAGGATAAGAGTGATGAGTGCAAATTGGGTGAGGAAAGCCATTGATGGAAGAAATTGTTGTAGTCTTTGCAATTTTTCCTCCAGCAAAAGTCATCTGGTCTTCCTAATCCAATCTTGATGTCTAGACTTCAATTACAGAATCGATGATGCTCTTTGGCTCTTTCAATTTTAGAGCTCACATTGGGAGAATATTGGGGAAAGAAGGAGAGGGCCAAGGCAGGAAGGAGATTGTTTGTTTGAAGTTTCAATATAAGACCCGTTTTTTCTTTGTTTGTTTGAAGTTTGAGAGAGAAAACTTGGATTTGGGTACCAAATCCAGGACCCAAATCCAACAAGCAAACGACCCCTTAATGACATTGGTATCTAGGGTTTGTAGTGTATCTACCTTTTATTTTATGTTTTTGCAGGGAAAAGAGGAGACCAGAAGAGGCCATGCGCACAAGTACAAATGTAGGCAGAAAGCAGGATGCAGGAAAGAAGGGGTGTGGATCTGGTTCTGGTATGGTGTGGAGGAGGAGAGAGTTAATTAATTAGTAGGGTTATCGTAGCTAGCTGGTAATGGTATTGTAGTGAAAGTAACAGGTGAGGGAAAAAGCAGCAAACCCCACAAACCCCCCCGCCCCGATCGACCCATGCACACGTCCCTTTCCCACCACACCCTTCATCATCTGCCGCCACCCAACCCCCTTCCCTCTTCTCTTTGCATTGGGGATGATGCCCACTCCACTCACATACATATCATCTCCATATCTTAATTACCTAATTACCCTCCCACACATACCAAACCCTACCCTTCCATTAAGGTCAACATACTTGTATGCATCAATATAGGGGTTGTTAGTTGGTTCGGTTATAATCGTAACCGTTTAGTTGATTATTGCGGTTAGCTGTTATGTTGTACTTTTCATTAATCATATTGTTTATATTAGTCGATTGATCGTAATTGTACAATCGATTATCGGTTATTTTATCGGTAAATCGGATAATTGTTAAGCAAGAACATGTACACAATAATACCATTCTACCATATTAAAGAAGCATACAAGAACAAGAGAGCAACAAACCATTACCCAACTCATAAACTCCACCAAATTACAAGGAAGCTTAATTGTTGCTCATTGTGGCGGAGCTATTATGCCCAAGTCCATCTTTCTATTGTGCTCATTGTACATCCCTTCCTCGGATTTATTCTCATTTGAACTTAAACCATTATTACAACTATAGGGGTAGACAAGAGATCTTGTCGACCTTCAAATTTCAATTTATTTTCAGCCTGTGTTTGCAACTCATCGAGGCCTGTGTATTTTTGGCGCCATAACTGTGAGAATGACGATAATCAGTTACTCGATTAAACATCGGTTAGTAACTAGCTAAATTTGGCTATCGATAACCGATCATAAATTGTTAAATTGGTTATCAATCGGTGTAAATGTTAACCACACCGGTTACGATTCGATTATCGATGACTACATCCATGGATACCCATGTTTCTTCGATATCATAGAGATTGATTAATTTAACAGAAGACTATAATGGATACATAGTCGGTACATCCTAACATAACATTGTTGGATTGCTTTTGCCCATTCTCATTTATGGAGGGAGGGAGAGAGAAGGGCTAGCTGGTAATTAATTTCGCGGAGTGTCGCCGTGTCGGCTGTATGTACACATGCAGAGGACAGTAGGGAGGAGGAGGGCAAGCATCCAAGTTTATCACTTTCCTTCCACCTTCCACACAAAAGAAAAGTTGAAACCCCAAAAAAAGGAGAAAGAAAAAAGAGAGAGAGAGAGATCCAAGAAGGCAGTGAGGGTGGTGGGTGGGGTTATAAAACTGACCTCTCTCCCTCCCTATATATATATATAAATCATCAGTCTAACTGAAAAACATCAATCAATCAAAGGGTGATCATCGCCATCATCCAAGTCACGGCCTGTTCTTTTCATTCAGGAGACACCATCATCACCCAAATCATTCGACAAGAAAAGCGGCCGGCCAACCAACAAGAAAAGCCTCATCTCAGATATGTCAATGTCGACCATGTCCGCCGCCGCAGCTCCAACCTTGTCCTTAGACCAACAGTACCACCAAAACCAGCAGATCCCTCCTCCTTCCTCCAACTCGGAGCAGCTCTGCTACGTTCACTGCAACATTTGTGACACCGTCCTCGCCGTCCGTTCCTTCTCTCTCTCTCTCTCCATAGATTTGCTTTGTTTCCTTCATATATTCATCTCTTTCCAGGCCAATACTTGAAAGTTGGTGAAATCTCTTGTAGGTGAGCGTTCCGAGCGCGAGCTTGTTCAAAACGGTGACGGTTCGTTGCGGCCACTGCACCCATCTCCTCCCGGTCAACATGCGTGGCCTCATCCAGCTCCCGCCGCCGCCCACTTCTCCCTCCGCCGCCGCACCCTCTCCGTTCAACTTCCCCCACCCCTTCTTCTCCCCTACCACTACTACTGCTTCCCCTCACAGCAGCAACCTCCTTTTCGTAAGTCTAGAAATTTTTCTAGGGCTTTTGCCTTCTTTGTTCACATCAGCACCAACCCTGAAAATTTTTTATACAGCTCTCTCCTTGTTTCCATTATCTTCCCCATTCAAGTTTGTGGGTTTTCGCTTTTTTCAGGATGAGATCCAAAACCAAGGTGCTGCCACCACTCCATCACCGCCGCCGGCAAACTTGCTGATGTTCAACCACCACCAGCTGAATTCTCATATCAACAACAATGACTACTTCGGCTTCAATTCAGGGAGAGGTGGAGGAGGACTGCAGGTGTCGTCGGATGAGCTCTCGAGGCCGCCGCCATTGGTCGTTAATAGACGTAAGAACCTCTCCCTTAGAAGAAGAAAAAAAAAAAACGTTTCATAAATACCAGATCTAGGGTTACAGCTACCTGGTTGCATTAATTAATAAATTCCTCTCACAACGATCCATTTTTGAAACAACGTCTTTCTTTGATTTATCAAAAGAAACCCTAGCTTGCTAGTGCATGCTAGCACTGTTGCTGAGCATGAAAAAAGCTGCTCGGAAATTGCACGCCGATGATATTGGATCCGTGCCCGAAATTAGCAGCTGCTTTTTTTTGTAGCAAACTAACACACATATTAGTATATAATTACTTAGTTATAATGTTTATGTTTAGGGTTTGCCTTGATCGCCCGGAATTGTAGAGAGAAATTGTTTGGACCGGCTGGCCGGCCGGGGGGAAAGGAAAGGAAAGGAAAGGAAAGGAAAAAAAGTAATCAAGTAGCCAATGATTGTACTGTTTCGTTGAGATTTTATTTTATTTTCTTTGGTTTTACCTTCCATTATTTGAGCTCCCGCAAATATTGTACGTAGCTTTAGCTAGATATGTATACAATCAGAATCTTTTGGGGAAGAGAGAGTTAAAAGAATGGCACGCAGTGAAGTGACAGTGGCTGGTGGTGAAAGAAACCAGCACCACCATCCAGAAGAAAAGACAAACAAACCAGCGCAGAAACCAGTTTATTTCTTTTCGAAAACTTTTTCCAAGAATAAAAAAAGGGTACTGATATATATACATATATAAGAAGAATTTATTAGTTTTACCTTTTTGGTGTTGGTTGTTGTTATTATTACAGCTCCTGAGAAGAGACAGAGAGTCCCATCTGCCTACAACCGATTCATCAAGTGAGTATAACACATCATATCATATCCACAGTAAATGTACAAGAGTTGATCACTGTTATTTTTATTTCCAACCATATATATCTGGCTTTGATTTCAAATATCAAGAGTTACAGTGAGTGAAAAGTTATTATTGTTGTGGAAGGATGGATGAGGAATATATCAGTTGTTTGTTAATGAGAACTGTAGGGAGGAGATTCAGCGGATCAAGGCAGAGAACCCTGATATCAGCCACAGAGAAGCTTTCAGTGCTGCTGCTAAGAATGTAAGATGGATCCAACACTACTGTTCATGATTTCTCACCAATTGTCAACAAGTGGTTCCTCTAGCTAAGCTAGCTAGGGTTTCCTTTAAAATTTACTGTGTTGGTGGGTGGTTTTGCATTTGTTATACTGATTAGTTTTCTGGACATATTTGTTTTTGTACTTGGACAGTGGGCTCATTTCCCCCACATTCACTTTGGTCTGATGCCTGATCAGCCATTGAAGAAGACGACTAACACTACCCTCCTCCACCACACTCAGGTAACTATGTTATACAACATTCTATCCCATTAATTAAGACCACATTAACCCAACACTTAAGCATTATCATTCACACCTATGTATAGCAACGTGTAACTAATAATCTTACCAGTTTGTTGATCAATCCGCCATTGTTATTAATTAATGTTGTTTGTGTAGGAGGCGGAAGATCATCAGCAGCACCATGTTCTAATGAAAGATGGGTTCTTCGGTTCAGCCAATTTCGGCCTTGCCGGTGCTCCTAATTACTGATCATGCATCATCATGATGATCAAGTCGAGAATGAAGTAGTAATGGCCGCCGGCTGGCAACCGTCACTTCGATCTGCTTAGTTTCTGCTTCATCTTTTTACTGTTTTGTTGGTCTAGCAAGCAAGAAGTGTGAACTTAAGATAAGATCGTATGGTATGCTTTATTTTTAAGTAACTAGCAGCTACATGTAATGTTAACTGACTGTCTATGGATATGGATAAATCCTCTAATGTCTGAAATTAAACCAAACCCTACTCTTCCTAATGTCTGCAATTATATATGAAGTGTTTCCTTTCAAAGATGACCACAAAGACTTCAAAGAAGAAAGAAGTAGATCATAACTAAAGACCGGTTCTTACGTATTGGTATACATTTGCATATAACATGTCTATTCCATGCACATGCTTGGACTAATGCAAGCATTGTCTATTATCACGAGATAACTTAGGGTTACAACTAATTCGAAAATGATCACTACTGATAAACGCATAGTAACCTATCATTTAAAAAAAGTGGATATTGTGCACCATAATATGTAAATAAACTCTAATAATTGGCTTTATAACGTTCTTTTTATGAAGGATGAAATTATATCAAAGGAGAAAGAAAATTTACAGGATGGAAAGGTACAAACTACCAAGTGTAAATACATGAATTCGCACGAAGGCTGCTCAGCATACACAATTGTCCGAATTAAATATGAAACTATTAGATTATTATTAGAATAATTAAACCCCAAGTAAAACACTAATTTTTTTTTTTTTGCCATTAGATCACTCTTAATAAGAGAAAATCGTTCAGATCATGATAATCAGTAGAGTTTAAGCAACTCTGGAACGTAACCAAGAACAGAAGTCAAACCTCCGAAACAATGGAGGCGACAAAGAAAGAGCATGGTGGGCTACATAGTGAGCCGCGTTGTTGCGAACACGACTAATGAATTGAATCATATACGAACCACCACTACAAAAAAAAAAAAAAAAAAAGAGATTTGGGGACAAATATCAGGGCACAGTTCTCTTAGATTGTCTCCGCAAATACAATTCTAAGTAGTATTAGGGACAAGCGTATAAATTGTCTCTATAAAATAAGGGATGTGATATTTTTTATTTTTTTGTTTTATTCCAATGTCTCCAAAACAAATCTCGCTAATTTTTTGGACAGGGGTTTTATTTGCTTGCAGCCTGGGTTGATTTTTTGGTCTTCAAAATATATTATCAAAATGAACACATCATTTTTTCATCATGAACGTTTTCTTTTCCGTTTTGGAGTTGTACTCTGGTTTCCCTTTTTATTTATTTCTATTATTGTTTTCCTCTTAAGTTGGAGCTTGTAAAAGGGTTTTTTGAAGTCTGAATTACGAATTTTGTTGGTAAGTTTATTATATTCATATTTAGCTTATGATGATAACTTTACACAAAAAAAAAGCTTATGATGATAATCTTTTTTAATTGGGCGAACACGAAAAATCCTCTCGCTCAACGAATTTCTCATCCACGAGCTTGGCGTAAAAAGATGAAACTGAGAAGATATGTGAGCTCTCAAGCGACCACACCAGTCTAGCCAGAATAGAACCAAGCCTCTCGTGAGGAAAAGACTCCAATAGAGTCTAGAATCGAATACATTTTGCTTCAACACCACTCGTTAGACTGTGAGACAGAGGCACCGCTCATGATTTCCTATATTGTCGACCAAAAACATGTTAAAATAATACAGATCAAAGGATACTGAGGCAGCTTCCACCCTCGGGATAGACTCAAAGGAATCCCAAATATCATTCCAAAATAAAACCACTTTCCTAACCTCTGAATAGATGACCTAGATAATATTCTAGAATTTAATTAGGAACGACACCTCCGACACCAAAAAGTTCAGCACATTGAAAATAAAAAGTAGTCAACTACTCTTTAGTTTGATCCAATCAATCATAACAACAATCGTTCGTTATGATTCGTTCTGATCAATGTGGGTCATATCGTTACCCTGTCGCTATATTGAACATGACAATCATTTATTATTGATCCCGTGAGTGTTCATCAATGTTGATCATATTTCTTAGCATTGTTCACTTATGTACTTGTACCTATCCCATAATTGTTCATAAAGTCTTGTGCTCCATACATACACTACTCAATGTAATACTCAACAACCTCTTTTTGTGATTTCATTTTTTTCACTGGATAGTATACTTTTTAAGAAGACTGAAGCTATGTAATTTCTATAATTAACCGTCTATAAAGCAATGCCAAGTTATTTGACAATGGTATCGTCTAGGGTTTGCATAAACCTGTTTTTCGCTTAAAAGAAGAGACCAGAAGAGGCCATGCGGACAAGTACAAATGTACATGGAAAGCAGGATAGAGCAAAGAAGTGGCCGGTAGCTATGCAATTGCAATGGATCGATCGTTCGTATATATGGAGAGTTAATTGAGTAGCCTGTTGCTGCTGCTGCTGCTCGTAGCTGGTAGTGTAGTGAAAGGAACAGGTGAGGGAAAGGTGGTAGCCCACCCACAGGCCCCGATCAAGCCATGCACACGTCCCTTTCCCACCCACCTTCATCATCTGCCGCCAACCATGCAAAGCAAATGCAAATGCAAATGCAACCCTGGCCTTCTCTCCCTCTTGCTTTGGGAATGCTGCCTACCCACAGCCACAACTTCCACCCACATACATTATCATAATCATCTTCCCTTAATCATCCTTCCCCGTCACACACACCAGACCCTACCATGTACGTTGATAGCACTGGTACGTTATACTATGCTTACATTGTTGGATTGCTCTCTTGTATTATAGATCTTTGAATAATTATGCATATTGAGAAGAAAACATATAGTCAAATACCATTATGTTCTTCATTTCGCATATTTGATGCTTATTCATGCAAGTTAGTGCTTATTCATATAAGAATTATGGTTATTCACATCATTGTAGTGTTACAAAAAAAATAATCAGGTCCAAAATTGTTCTAGTAATTCTACCAATGGTGTTTTTATTTAGAGGTCTAAGATTCTAATTGCTTAAGTAGCACATAAAATTAAAAACAAACCTTTGCCACTCTTATAAAAATTAAGAAGTTTGAAAAATCCAATTTTACTCCAAAAAAATTAGGGCCAATACAAACTATTAGGGTTGGGGGATGTCCGTTTCCATTAGGGGCTTGTTTGCTTGATAAATTTGGTGAGAGATTTGAATTCATCATGGACTTTGTCCACAATCCATTGTTTGCTTCATGCATCTAGGGACAACAATCAGTGGGTGCAACGAACTTTAAAGGTCCAAATTCGTGGATTACACGAACTTGAAAGTTCCACCTATTTGGTGGGAATTGATCATGGACTTTAAAGTTCATTATTTATGACCAAACTACCCCTCCTATTTCAATTCTCTTCTCATACCAATGAGGACAATAAAGGTAAATTTCACTTCATACATATAAATCTAATTAACTAATTCCATCATGAAATCTATGAGACAAACATTGGTATTTTGCAAGTTCATGATGAACCCAAAACCCTCATATCTCCATGATCTTACAAAACCCAAATTTTATCAAAACCTTCATTTTTCAAATCCACGAAACAAATGAAGCCTAGATGCTCATCTATATAGAGGAGAGGAGAGGAGAGGATTTGGGCCATATAAAAACATGTGTCACTAATAGTAGGGAGTGCAAGCGTCCAAGTCGATCACACTTTCCTTAGCTTCCACACACAAAGGATAAGAGAGAGAGAGAGAGAGATCCCAAGAAGGCAGTGGGCTTGTGCGGTTATAAGTTAAACATCTTTCTACCTGTGTAACAAAACATCAGTCAATCAAAAGGTGATCATCAGTTCATCACTATCCAATCAACTGTACTTTTCATTCAGGAGATACCATCATCATCATCATCAGAATCAATATAATAATATAGAAGGAAGCGGTCAGCCAAACCAACCAACTGTTGCCAACCACCAAGAAATTAAACACGTATAACACACATCAGATGTCAATGTCGACTATGTCCCCCGCTCCCTTCTTCTCCCCTACTACTACTACTGCTTCCCCTCACAACAATAACAAGCTCCTCTTCGTACCTAAACTATAGGGCTAGCTTTCTGGTGGCCGATCTCTACTGGTCAGTCAAGCCTTCTGAACAGTAGTTGGCTTCCCTTTTCTTTTTTTTTTCTTTATATATATAGTTTTCATCTCCCCATTCAAAATTTTGGATTTTCATCTTTTCCAGGATTTTCATCTCCACCGCCGCCAGCAAACTTGTTGATGTTCAACCAGCACCAGCTGAATTTCCCCGTCAAAAATAATGACTACTTGGGCTTCACTTCAGCTCGAGGAGGAGAAGGAGGAATATTCATGCAAAGTCCCGTCGGATGAGCTCTAAAGGCCGCCTCCATTGGTAGTCAACGGACGTACGTAAGAACCTAACATTCATGATTCACCTCTCCCTCCCTCTCTCTCTTCTTTATCCCTCTCGAAAAAGGGGAAGAAAAAAAGGGAAGGTTTATTAAGAACCAAAACTTGGTTTACAGCTAGCTGGTTGCAGCAATAAATTTTACCAAAAGAACCCTAGCTAGCTAGCTAGTTGAATCGAAGTAGCACTGTTTTTTTAGCATGAAGCGGCTGCTGCAACTACTCGTAAAAAGCTGCTCAGAAATCGCACGCCAATTATATTGGATCTGTGCCCCAAATTCTTATTGATTGAATCAGCAGCTGCAGTTTTTATAATAAAGCTTACATATATATATAGATTACTTAATAATTAGTTGGTTATCGTTTAGGTTGGTCGCCCGGCTGGCCGGCCGGGGGAAAAGGAAAGAACCCATCAAGTAGCAAATGATTGTACTGTTCCGTCGAGGTTTATTTATACTCCATTTAAGCTCGCGCAAATATTGTAGCCTAGAAGATATGTAAAAATACCGAATCTTTTGGGGAAGAGAGAGTAAATTGACAGTGGCAACCAGCAGCATCACAACACAAAAGAAACGACAAATTAGTAGCAAAATAAATAAAAAAAACGACAAATTTTATTTTATTTCTTTGGGGTTTTTCTTTACCGTGAACGATATTATATAATCACATGCATGGCGATCATTATGTCATTGTTTTGACTATATTTCTATTTTCCACATATCAAGAGCTACAATGAGTAAAAAGTTAATGTGGCGCGAGGGTGGGTGTGGAATTCATTAGTTTAGTGAATGAATGTAGGGAGGAGATCCAGCGGATCAAGGCAGAGAACCCTGCCTGATACTAGGAGTGGTTATACAGTCTGGTACGATTAAATTGATCCAGTTTCAGTTAGTTTTTTTTTTTTTTGAAAATATAAGGATCAAATATTAGATTGGATACGGTCTGGTCTTGACTCGGTACGGTCTTGACTCGATTCGGTCTTGATTTTAGATTGACCTTGTGGAGATTTGAGTGGCCTGAGGCCTCAAATGGTGAGGAGTTGGTTAAGTTTTGGGTTGGACTCTCTTATCTAGTCTTTATCTGGTTTTCAGTCCGGTTCCGAACGATTTTTTACCTCAAATTTCAGCCTGAAGATCAGATTAGTTTGTTTGCTATCCGATCCTATTCCGATCTCGGTCCGGTTTTGGGTAAACCAAAAAGCCCGAACCAAATAACCACTCCTAATATCACCAACAGAGAAGCTTTTTAGTGCTGCAAATAATTACATAATAATTTTATCAAATGGTAGAGGGAAAACTGCTCAATATATATAAGTTTTTGGCTAGGGTTTCTTTTTTCTATATATTAATAGAGATACATATTTTTTGTGGTTGTAGGTTGTTTTGTATGTATGTATTCTGAGTAGTTTTTTTGGACATTGTTGTGCTTTAGTGGGCTCACTTCCACCACATTCACTTTGGTCTGATGCCAAATCAGCCCTTGAAGAAGCCCACTAAACGTTACCCTCCTCCACCCTCATCAGGTAACTGCGAAACCTAGCCATCTAGCAAACGCCTCCTTGATCAATTATCAATCCATTGTTTGTTTGTGTAGGAGGAAGAAGATCAGCATCATCATGTTCTATTGAAAGATGGGTTCTTACTGATCACCATCATCAAGTGAAGAATAATTAGTTAATGATTGTGGATAACTGCCACGTTGCTTTTATTACTTGGGGTCGTTTGGTTTGGTGATTGTTAGGTTGAGATAGTTACAATGCATGTGTTGTCTACAATGTATTGTTTTTTAGAATTTTCTGCACAAACAATACATGCATTGTTTGCTTGATGTGACTCAAACTATCACTCAAAATGAGTGATAGTTAAATCTCGAGTTTTTTGTGAGATTGTTGAGATTGTTTGATTGAGATGGTTGAGTCTTTTTTTCTTCAGCTATGTCCTTACGTTTTTATGTATGTTACTTTCTTATATAAAAAACAAAGGGTAAAAGTGACATTTCACCCAAAAAGAAATCTAACGTATTTAAATACTACAGTAATTATCATAAAAATCAAACGATGTAAACTACAATACACCAAATTTCTTATATACATTAGAATTATTAAGCCACAAGCAACACTGTTCACGGAGTGGCTTGGCGATTGTCTGCGGTACTATCTACGTTAGCACATGTGTAATTATATTGACAGGCCAAGCATGGCCGTTGATGTTATTTTTACTTTGCAAGATGCGTGAGCTCAGAAAAAAAAACAATAACACGTGATCGGTGCCCCCTTAAAAAAATAAAACGCTTCTCGATGCAATCTTTCTCTCACCTCCCATAATCACAGAACGGCTTCCTCCAAAACTTCTTTCCTGCTCGATGCAACAACAGATTTCACATCGCTGAACCCACTGAGCGACGACAGATACAACATCTCCGAACCCACAAAGCGGGCACCGACGAATGACACTCGATTTCCCCTCTCTTCACCGCCCTCAACTCGCTGAACGGCACGTCGGTGGGAGACGAGCCCTCCTTCCCGACATATTTGAAGTCGAACGATTTGTCCTTGATTCCATGGCTTCGATGTTGGAGAGAGGTAGATACGCTTCACCGGACAGGGAAGAGGAACTGTCATGAGGAAGAGGAACGCGCAGACGATCAATGTGAAAACCCCTCCTCTCTGAAAAAGCAGAGGCCGCGCAGAGATGCGGTGGTGTCTGCGACCATCCTTATTTCTCTCTATTCATGTCCGCAAACCAAAATACGAAGCAGAGGTCGGGGGAGATGTGGTTGGAAAGAGATCTGGCTCTTCTCTCACAGGGGCACTCGGATTTGGGATCTCTCTCTACCGGTTGACTCTGGAATCCCTTCATCTCTTCAAGCGGTGAATGTGGCATTCCTAGTTCATACCGAAACCCAGGCATGTGGGCGCTAAGGTTTCTTTTCAACTTTATCCTAAATCCTGCATAATTATTCTCAACATACATTGTCGTTGATTTGGCCGCAAAGCTTTTCTTAATCGTTATTCTCACATTTTTTCTGGGTTTTCGCTATAGTGTCGTTGATTTGGCCGCAAAGTTTTTCTTAAGCGGCCTCGGATGAGGGGAAGAGACGGTACCACTGCTGGGAATTTTCACTTTCAAATGTTCAAAGAAGGGGGAAATTGAAGGCATCACTTCAGCATATGCTAATTTCTTGAAGTAAGTGTATCCCTTCTCAATCGTAAATCGATATTTTCAAAGCAATCTTATTTTTAACCCCAGAATAAAAATTGTTGTTGAAGTGCAGAACCTGGCAATCACTCTAATCGTTTGAGGAAAGAACATCATCTCATCCAAATTTTCTCTGTATTGTACTATCACTAATCCTCCAATAATTCTCTTTGTATTGTACGAAGAGAGTTATCGAATAAGAAAGAACAAAACCACTTTTCCCAAATTCTTTCTTCCTCTCGTTCTTTGCTCTGTTTTTACCTTCTTCTTCTTCATCCCTTATCTGTATTCTTCTTCCTTCTTACTATTCCCTTAATTCTCCTCTCAATACAGTGTTTACTCATCTAATTCGCCAGAAAGATCTAAGATCGTCACAAGTGGCATCACAACCATTCTCGGAAACAATGGCTCCAACAAATCGAATGGTGTCAATGGACAACCGCGACGAACGGTTTCACTCTCAATCCATTTTGGGGAACGATTCAGCTAGCAAGATCGCGGCTATGAATGCACTTGATAGGTGGGACGACTGCTTGGAATCAGTGTTGAATTGGCTGGATGAGTATTAGTCAACAATGGCGAGTGGGGGGTTGTTGACGATGCGCGAGGATAGTTGCAGACCCGGTACGAAGGCTTAGACACTTTTGAGTAGAAAGAGTAACATAGGGGATAACTGCAACGAAGTAAGAAGACGAGAAACAATGTTTCACTTGTCTCTTACCTTCTGCTAACTCTAAGACTTGGGCCCTAATAGCTGATCGAGCCTATCAGAATAAACTGCAATAAAATAAATAGGAAAGCACTAAAGAATTGAAACAAAATAGATATGATGCCCACTTGATCTTTATTATGAAATTCAGAAGCTTTGTAAGCGACTCTAGTTATAATAGTGATGAACATGAGACAATGATAGTAGTGATAAAATTATTAGATAGAGAGATCAAATTATTATTTTAACTTTACAAAACAATGATTAAGTAAAATCATAAGATAAAGATTTTGTAGAAAACGAACAAGTACTTAGTCTATTTGTCCGTACTATCACTACTCGAATAAGAAAGAACAAAACTACTTTTCCCAAAAAATTTCTTTCTCGTTCTCTGCTCTGCTTTTGCCTTCTTCTTCTTCATCCCATCTTCATCCTTCTTAATCTTTCCCTATTCTCCTCTCAATTCCATTGTTTGCTCATCTAATTTGCCGAAAATATCTAAGATCGTCACAAGTGGTATCATAGCCATTCTCGGAAACAATGGCACCCACAAATCGAATGTTCACTCCAAAAAAAAAACAGCTGAAGTGACAATTTAAAATTCAGTCAAATTGTCATTAAAAGGTAGAAAAATGTCACAATAGTGTTGTACTGACGTTTTACACAAATGACACATAAATGTCACATAATCCAGTGTCACTAACTTCTTTTGTGACATTTGTTACAATTGTCAGTACCACTTTTGTGTGACGTTTATTTTACATATTGCGACACTTATAATCGTAGCATAATAACATCTTTTGTGACATTTTAAAGCGTCGTAAGTGATGCAAATAGTGACATTTCTAGAGACATATCAAACTGTTATAGTTAATACCAATAGTGACATGTCTTGTGACATTTCAATATGTCATAGCCCATCTCAATAGTGACATTTATAAGGACATGTTAATATCTCACGATTGATACAAATAGTGACATTTCTTGAGACATTCATAATTGTCACAGTAGATCCCAATAGTGACATTTCTAAGGACATATCAAAGTGTCATAGTAAATACATATTGTGACATTTCTCACGACATTCCAAAGTGTCATGGTTGACACCAATGGTAACATTTACCGCGACATTTCCATATGTTATAGCCCATCTCAATAGTTACATTTTTAAGGACATGTTAATATGTCACGATTGATAAAAATAGTGACATTTCTCGAGACATTCCTAATCGTCAAAGGTGATACAATTAGTGACACTTTTTGTGAGATTCCAATATGTCACAGTTGATCCCAATAGTGACATTTCTAATGGCATGTCAATGTGTCATAGTAAATACAAATAGTGACATTTCTCAAGACATTTCAATGTGACATAGTAAATACAAATAGTGACATTTCTCTGAACATTCCAAAGTGGCATAGCTGATACCAGTAGTGACATTTACTGTGACATGTCAAACGTGTCGTGGTTGAAACAAATGGTGACATTTTTTACAACATCATATGTGATATGAATAGTGACATTTAATGGGACATTCCATAATTCTCTAGGTGATACAAATAGTGATATTTGTATGGATATTCAAAAGTGTCATATATGATACAAATAATGATATTTGTTGAGACATTCCAAAATGTCATATATAGTACAATTAGTAACACTATTGCGACATTTTAAAGTGTAACAACACCAAATTAGATTACCATTATAGTTTTTAATTTAAATTTTTACTCACTGATGGATGGTTCAAATTTGGCTTCATTTGTTGGCCAACATGGAATCAGATGAACTTAAGCGAGAGGAACGGGCCAGGCCCAGTTCGAGTGGAGTGGGTGGTGGTTGTGGGCCTCAACCCAGAGAATGTCCTAGTGGACTGACCGGTTTAAAAGAATGGATTAGGTTTTTCAACTAGTTACCAAAGCCCAGAGAATTACTACAAGTGGGCCTCAACCCAAAGAATGCCCAGAGAATTACCACAAGTGGGCCTCAACCCAGAGAATGCCCTAATGGACTGACCGATTCAAAAGAATGGATTGGGCTTTTAAACTAGTTACCAAAGCAAAATGTCGTTGCAAATTATGGTAACAATTTTAGCAACTTTTTTGTCATCATAATAAGTTGGAAACTAAAAGATGATATCAAAATGTATACTAAAACAATTATTTTATGTAATATTTTAGATTGGTGAGAAAAAAAATTAAGGATATTTTCAAGTTATTTTTAATGGTAAATAAAAATTCGTTATAAGACATTTTTATTCCATTAATATTTAAATCAAGACAAAAATTTATAATATATTAAAAAAAATAAGCACATAAAAATATAAAACAATGTCATTAATACAAAATAACATAAACAACTAAAAGCATCCAATAAAAAAACACTAGTCCATACAACCCCAAATCATAGACCTTGAGTCCAGGTTTAATTGTTCACACAAAAATGTGTGATTTAAAAATGTCTTACTAATTAAAATATTGTCTTCCACACTCTTAAAGTACTCAAAAGTAATAAATCACAAATCAACTCATCAATTTCCTTGCATGTATTTCCATAACGATCATCAAGTCGAACAGTTTCCTTAACTTCCTTGGTTTCCTCGTGGAGATGTAGCTGCAGCACCTACATTAGAAGTAATATTAATATCAATTAAGATTCAATAATATTAACTTCAAATGCAAAAGAGACTTGACGAGAAAATTTATACTTTGGCAGCAGTTGTTTCAAGTTAAGGTATGAATTGAATTCAGTCATTGATAGAAAGCCCAATAGCTCCTTCCTCAAATACACCACATGTGTTCGGTTCGTTTCTCCATGCAGTTTGAAACTTTGGTAGCAATTTAGTGTGCAGTTTTATGGCATAACAGCTAGTGATTATCATTATCCATCATTTTGGTTTCAAACAAGAAAAAATTAGAATATGTGATCGAACCAAAAGTAAATAAAAATGGAGGGTTCAAATCACAAAGAAGTAAGTTTATTAGTTCGCTTTGACCGATTCAAATGCAATTTTGATAGAAATTTCTTTCATATTTAAGATAATTTACAGGATCAACAATGAATCAAACTATATAGGGTACCATTCAATTAAATTTTGAGTGGACCGTGAACTAATCAAACAAATAATTTGAATCGAATCAAATAACCTAGATTGTCGTGAATAGGGGGTGAAACAATTACAATCATTTTGATTTTTTTCCATGGAAAAGAAGATATTAATTATATAGAAGAATTTGTATCATTTTTTTTTTCAATATCATCCTTATTAATTATATAATGATACTTCGCTCGTGACATTTCTCTAAATGTCAGACAAGCAACACTTGTAGATGTCACCGTTAAATGTCACAATCTATATGCTATGCTGACACTTCACTAGCGACACTTCTCTAAATGTCAGACAAGCAACTAAGCTATTGTGACATTTAGTTATGTGACTAGCTTATATCACACATACTTCTTTATTTTGACACTTTTTAGTTGACACTTCTCTAAATGACAGAAAAACGTGTTTAATGTTGTGACAATTTAAGATGTCAACATTAAATGTCACAATATATATGCTATACTGACACTTTGCTCATGACAGTTCTCTAAATGTCAGACAAGCAACTAAGCTATTGTGACGTTTGGTTATGTGACCAACTTATGTCAGCAATACTTTAATATTTTGACACTTTTTTAGTGACACTTTTCTAAATGACAGAAAAACGTGTTAATTGCCGTGACAATGGAAGATGTCAACGTTAAATGTCACAATATATATGCTATACTAACATTTCACTCATGACATTTCTCTAAATGTCAGACAAACAACTAAACTACTGTGACATTTAGTTATGTTACCAACTTATGTCACAAATACTTCTCTATTTTGACACTTTTCTAAATGAAAATTTGTATACACACTTTACCAATTATTAATATAAGTAATGAAAATTTGTTTTATAACAAACACCAAATGTAAAGAAATTTTAGCGAATGGACATTCAAATAGTTGAAAAATTATACATTGAAGGAACATGTTAAGATGAGAACCTTCGATAGTGTATATGGATGCCTTGGATTCAGACTCTAAACGAACATGTTAATAATAATTTGTATCTTGATAGAAAAATTGTCATAAGATGCTATACAAAGACTTCATGAACATCAACAATAAAAATGAGTGAGGTTTAGAGAATTAATCATTATAAGGGATACGATGTGTGTCAAATTTCAATTGGGATAAACATAATTTATCCAGTAATCAAGTATCTTTTTCCAATAATTTGAACTTTGATTAATTGGTTGGGAGTTCGTACAAACTCGAGAATCATGAATTGATACATGTTGTATAAGATAATAAATTTGATACGATCCTAAATGGGACGTGATAAACCTTTACGATATGATTAATGATCAGAGAATAAAAACATCACAAGCGAGTGTGCTAACTATTAAATATTAAGAATTTTTGATATAGGCACATCACATATTCACTTATGAAGCGAGAGCAAAAAATATATACAAGATTCAAAAGGTTCAACATTTAGATAAGTTAACTAATATAAACAATAAAATGAATTTCACCGGCCAAGTGGCCGGATAAAAAACTAGTTATATCTATGGAGTTTCACTACGGGAAAAGTGGCAACACTTCAAATGTGTTGTGAACTGCAATTTGGTGTTTGATGTAATTATTGTCTTTCTGTTTTACAAAAGTTGTTGGGGGCCGGGTTAATTACGGATCTAGCTAGTTTCTTATCACCTTATTCTTCACTTTGGATGTGTTTTCTACAAGTTCGTACATTATCTTTGTTGATCAATCATTTTACAATTGAGTACTGAAACTATTATAAGACGACCAATAGAATGATCAAAGAGATTGTAACTCAAATTACATAATAACATAACATATTACTATTAGGGTGCTTATTAATAACTCAAATCACTGACGGGACTTTATGAGATGCTTATAACCAAACCAAACTAGGTGTTTTTAGACGACACTACATGTAATACATAATCAAATCAAAGGGGTGTAGTGTAGATAGATAGATCATGTCCCCTCCTCCAGATGAAAGCTATAATCCCACAATTAAGCTTGATCCTATATATCGAATATAAATAAATCAAGCAGATCGACGAGAGATCCTGACGGGAAGTCCATGTTCCATATGCAACACAGTGGATACAGCAAAAGAAGGGGAATGACCTTCCACCGCCACTTGGATCTTAAACCTCCCAAGTACGGCAGCCGCCACCATCTTCAACTGAATCAAGCTCACTTCTTTCCCTAAACAACTCCTCGGCCCGCCGTTAAACGTCACGAACTGATGCGACGGCACGAGTCGAATCCCTCCTTTCTCAGTGATCCACCTCTCCGGCCTGAACTCCTCGCAGTCCTTGCCCCACGTACCTTCCATCCTCGCCATCGAATACACCGAGAAGAAGACCCTAGTATTTGCTCTCACGCGGTGGCCGCTAGGCAGCGTGTCTGCCTCCTTCGCCCACTTGTGGTTGATCGGCGATGGCGGGTATAGCCTCAAGGTCTCTAAAATGGCTGCGTGTAGGTACATCAGACGGTTCACTTCTTCCTCGTTGTAAAGATAATCGGCTTGTGGGCTTGCGGGCGGATTGGATTTGAGCTCGGCTAGGATCTTGTTCTCCACGTTTGGATTGTTGGCCAGGCTCCAGAAGAACCAAACCAGGGTCGAGGCTATGGTGCTTCTCCCAGCTCCGAGCAAGTTTAGGGTCATGTCACGTAAGAATTTGTCTTCGATGAGCAATGCGGTGTCGTTTTCTGATTCTTCCACGATGTGAGCTGTGAGTAAGTCGACAAATTCTGGGGCTTCCGTCCTTTTGGCATAGTGTAGTCAGGAATCATATTTTAGGTGCAAGGATATAGGGAGGAAAAAAAAGTGAAATCGACATTTTGCTATAATGGATCATGTGACTTAACCAAAATTTGAAAGTCACTGAAAACAAATTTACACTAATTAATATAATATGCTTTAAGCACGATTTGTGAAATCATACAATTAGTAAAAACAGTTTAAGAGTATAGTTGTGGTTCAGCCAAGAGAATAGGATATAAATAATTTGGGAGCCGTAACATATATGTTTGATATCATTATTAAAGTAATATTAGATGAAATTATATATAGAATTGTGTTGTAGGGTTGCTATAATAATTACCTTGATTGGTCATTACTAAGTTGGTTTCGCCTCTTCGAAATGAAGTCATAGAGAAAATGGTCAAATCTGTTTGTGGCTATAGTCAATCGTTTCTCGGCTCCGATTCCAAGCCTATTCTGAAGCTTCCAAGCTGTTGTGGGTACAACATGTCGTCGGAACATCGCTTTCTCTATATCATCGAAAGCTTCTGCTAGCGAGACGTCTTGGAAGCCAATGTTTAATGAGCATGGGTCAAATCCCAATACTGTGATGCAAATTATATCGAAGGTAAATCTCTGAAACACATCTTGAAGATCCAATTTCAAATTATTTCCCGCCGAATGATTGAGGACTGGGAAGATGCCAATTTCCAATTTAGCATGTATCGCCTTTTCAAGTAATGACTTGTACCTGTAATGCATCATTTTTTTTTTAGTTTGTCCAATTGGTCCAAATTAATCACAACCACGATCAATTAATTAGCAAGAAGTACTTATTTATTTGTGAAGAATGGAGAAAATAAATTAAACAAAAGAGATGGCAGTTTAATTTAGTCACTATAGATATACTCCTATGGATAACCTGCTATATCGGTTATTTAATTATTTCCTAAAAAGAACACCAATAAAATCTGCCTTTTTCAAGACATGCAGCTACGTACTTGTTGTTTTTCATGAGCAGTTGGAGTTTCTTCCTCTGAAGCACCCACGGCTCGAAGTCGACGGCGAAAATTCCGTCCCCAAACGGCTCGAAGATGTCCTTCATCACCGGTCCCTTGGGATAGTTCGCAAAGTTGCCGCTCAGTATGTGACGGACGTTGGCCGGGTCGCTGGTGATGATGCTGTCCATGTCCGTCAGCCATGGGCCCTTCGACTCCACCGTGCCGCCCTGCCGCCGCAGCACCGCCGTCAAGAAGTCGTGGAAGTCCGCCGCGTGGCGGAGCAAGGTGGGCAGCATGCCAACCACGGGCCAGTTGGTGCCGAGCGGTGGCGCCATCAGCGCCCTGCTCCGCTGCCAGTGACGGATTAGGAAGCCGGCGGCCGCTACAAGTCCTAGAAACATGTTTATGTATGACATGGTCGTCATTTGGATATTATTATGTTCTGTTTGGGTGTTTTGATTGAGTTGATGCATGTATTATTACCTTACTACTTATATATGTTCTCCTTCATGAAACTATAGTTGGGAAAAAGGTATAAATGCAAGCACCTAACAGAAGGGAAATTCTTACAGTTTCTGGTATGCAGCTGACGGATGGATAATTGATGGTGGCTATTAATGTTGTTTCTGGACGAGATTCTTGTGGTTGGTATTGAGTTTTGCTGGTTTTACCTGTGGTTAACTTTTGTTTTTTTAGACGAGATGAATAATGTAACATTCGAATCTTTTCTCGATGAAGATATTGTCAGATTTGGGCCTCGACTCTCATGGTTTTCGACTTTGGATGCAATTCAAGGTGGCTTCCCATAAGGTTACCCATCCTTGTTGTACTCCACACTGAGCACGTTTAACTTCGGAGTTCTCACAAAAACTCCTCCATTACACCCCAAAACGATCTTGTCAGTTAAGGCCGGTTTCTTACTTATGAACCATGAATCTCTCTCATGCTTTGTCGATATGGGATTTGTCTAAGGTGTTACAATTAAACTGATGTTGTGTCATTTTGTTTTTTATGGCTATTTTTGTCTTGGAGGTGTGCTCGATCGACTACTTCATTTGTACGGATAGTAAAAAAAAATAGTGACTTAAATATTATTGATGACCACAAAGTTCTTCGAACTTCTGAAAATCATTGTATTCAATGTTAGTTCAGTACGCAAAGTTTGATGAGCATGACATATTCATGTGATATGTAAGGTTACAAGTATATATATGTACTATTATGCTTGTGGAGATCAGCTAAGTAGCGGTGTAAGATTTGATTTGCTTGATTCGATTTTTTCAGATCTATTTGAAATGAGTATTATATATTTCTCAAATAGTATTACGCATGTTACACGATATACTTATTTTGCTCCCACCGTGTCTTGACTTATTCTTTCTGAATTCATCACATTGATTTTCATTCTAACTTAGCTACTACTTGGTGAAGCCTCCATGTCTCAAAAAATTGTATTTCATCCTTCAAATCTCCTCTTTATATAACCAAATTGTTTCTCTCTGTTTTTATGAAAAGTTATGTAACATCTTATTATTATTATTATTATTTTACAAAGATATGGTCTATTGTGGGAAAAAATCCCAAGTTACACATGTTTTTAAAAAAAATTCTCAAAATACACATGTTATGAAAATAATTCCCAATCTACACATGTTTGGGCCTTCACCGCGTCAGAGAAAGTTATGGTCGTTCAAAGTTTGACGAAATCGAAAAAAGGCTCGTTCGGGGTAGCAAACGACATTTTTTCGAGACGAAGGCGGGACCAAACCGCCTCCGGCAGTTTGTGGCTAGCAAGATCTCGAAAAATTATGCGGAATCAAAAAAAAATTCTCTACGATCGGATAACCGAGCACAAAGTTACGTTGTTTTAAAGTTTGGACGCAGTTCAGTGCTTCACCGTTTTGCTCTCACGCGGTGAAGCAATCACCGTTTTAGTTTGAAACGGTGAATACATCACCGTTTTAGTCAAAAACGGTGAAGTATTCACCGTTTTGGTCAAAAGCGGTGATGACCTTCACCGCTTTTGTCTAAAACGGTGATGCTCAAACATGTGTACTTTTGGAATTTTTTTTATAACTTATGTATTTTGGGAATTTTTTTTAAGAACTAGTGTACTTTGGGATTTTTTCCGTCTATTGTGGGTCTATGCTAAGAAGATTTTTGTTTTGTCGAGCATATAAGGTGATTTTTCAAGAGGACATACATTCTTACATTGTTCCGCAGTTTCTACTTTAGAGTTCTTACAAATTACAATAACTCTTTCATTTCACCTCAAAACGAACTTTATCGATTAATATTAGATATTGCTTATGAATTAAAATCTCTATCTTTGTCGAGCATTTGACTAAATGTTACCAATTCATCATGGTAAAAAAAAAACTTTTGCAGTTGCATATCTGGAAAAAAAATTGTAACTATCTTATGTAACTAACGTGGGTAAAATACCTCGGGCACCACTTAAGTTTGAGAATTAGGGCAGACATACCACTTAAGTTTGAATAGGACGTCGGGTACCATTAAAGTCGCCAAAATGTGCATCCGTCTAGTTTTCCATCCAACCGAAAATTTTAATTACTTTTTGGAACTTTTAAAAACATCCAAAACTATATATTAACAAATTTTATCGAATATAGAAATTAAAAAACCTTCTAATCAATGTAGTCAAAATCGCGCTTAAACTTAAAAACTTACGATTTTACATTTCTAGTTCACTAAAATGCTTCTACACAAAATCTCAGTTTTTATAACTTACGTAGTTAAAAACTCCGCTTTAAAACTTAAAAACTTACGATTTTACGCTTTTAGATCGTCAAAACGTTTCTACGTAGAAATTCACTTTTGACTACATTGCTTCTAATTACAATATTACTAAAATGGCGAGTCAATATTGTCAATAAAATAGATAAATTAGTAAAAATAATAAATAAATATCAAGAAGAATAATAAATATATAGAATATAATAATAAATATTTAAAATTAATATTAGAAGATCTATTTAAACTCCTAATCCAATTAGAAGTATCATTAAAAATAGTTAAAATAGAATCTAATCGATCATTAATGCATCAAGACCATAGAATAATAAATAAAATACAATCAGAAAGAATTAAACATATTCCAGTAATTGAAGATACTTATAATGATAATTGATTCTACATTTCCTATTCAAAAATTGGTTCGGTACCAGAGTCTTCAAAGGAGGATTTCAACTAAACATAATTCATAGGATGTATTTGATTCAGGGAATAATTCAATTATTAGTAAACATAGTGATAATGGAAAATACTTTTAAGAATTACCGGAAAAAATAATTATAATAATAATAAATTACCTATTCAAAAATTAATTTGGTATCAAGTCTTTTAAAGAGATACCAACTAAATAATAGAGTTCAGTAGTACTTGACGCCCTATTCAAATTTAAGTGATATATCTGCCCCGGGTTTATGCCACATTTGGTCAGTGAGATTACTAAATCGAGTCATGTTTAGTCACTAGAAAAATTTAATATCAATTTTGGTCACTTGAATTACTGAAACGGGTCACATTTAGTCACACTCCCGTTAATGGAGTTTAACGAAAACTAACGGGGAGAGTGACTAAATGTGACATGTTTCAGTAATTCGAGTGACTAAATGTGTCATGTTTCAGTAATTCGAGTGACCGGAATTGGACGGATGTGACTTGTTTCAATATTTCAAGGTGACCAAAATTGATATTAATTTTTTCTAGTGAATAAACATGACTCGATTTAGTAATCTCACGGACCAAATATGACATTTACCCTATCTACCCCAATTCTCAAACTTAATTGATATCGGAGGTATTTTACTCTAACTAACGTGCACCTACCCGCAAAGTGAATATAAATATTAAGTCACCCCCATCCACCCTGCATTTTTACCATTACAGCTCACGGCTAACATAGGCCACAGATAATATATACGAGGAAAAAATGGAAATGGTAAAAACTAAAAAGAAAAGAAAAGAGCTTCACAGCGAAATTGCCAATAACTAGGTTTGGGCCCCAATAAAGTTTGGGCTGGTGGTGACTAAAATGAATTTCCTCTCCGACAGATGGGGGTGCGTGGGTTTCGGGGTGCCTGTGCTGTGGCCCGTAATAAATTATCCAAGGCCCATGTACGTGCCGACACATCACCTGACTCAACAGTGAACCCCACCTTACCTTCGCCCTTTTTTACCCGCCAATGAGACATAGACGTAGGCAATTCAGTAATTCTCTATCGAGCAAGCAACACATGGAAATGGAATGCATATATATTGTCCTCTCTTCATTTGGTACATCATTATTTTATTTGTTTACTATTTAGCTAGCTGGTCAAAGTGATAAAACATTCCCATTAATATTCATGGCGGGACTAAATAGATTATGACATGATATTTATGGTTAGGTTTGATTAAGTGATCGTATGCTTGAATGTTTCATAAATTTCAATTTTAATAGTTGTTTAAAGAACAAAGTATTTTTAGACCATGTAATCTTCACATATGTGTGTTGATTTTTATTTGAATAAGTGCATAAAATGATGGTATAAGACTTTTAAATACAACTAAAAATACGTGATTGTCTAGAGAAATATAAAACAAAAGAAATTTGAATAGTGGTCTCAAATTAGGAGGTGAAAGTTCTACCTACACTTTTTTTTTAAAAAAAATTACATGACTTACATCGATTTTCAGCACAATTTATTTCTAGTTGGGTAGGAATCTTGGTTTTAATAAAAATGGAGGTGGTTACTGGTTATACAATAAAGAACCAGGGAGTTGCTATGCCTATAATGTACTCTGTATTGGGCCACTATGATTTGAGAAAGCCCAAGTACATTTTCCCGCCCCAATTCTCCTATTAATAGTGGGCCGACAGAGTATCGTAGGCCCATTTCCTTAAACTGTTCTAAACTTCTAATTGTCTTTCCACTTGTTCCATGTATTCCTTTCCCGTTGCGGTCAGGAGGAGGCCTAGACATTATAAATACCCGTTCCATGCCCCTCTCGGCCGGACAGACACAATTAGCCATCGCGGAGCCGAAGAAGACCCCATTGTCACTGCCGGACTAAACAAACATGGAGAAACGCCGGTCTGAACTGACTCCAGAGACGCGAGGAATTCTCGTGGACTCGTTGGTGAAGCTAGCGGAAAAGAAACAGCTCCGCCCCGAAACTCTGTTTCGCGCCGTCGCCTACATCGACAGATACCTGTCTCTGGACCATCGGATTCGTACCACCACACGACGCCGTCTTCGTTTACTCGCTGCTTCTTCAATGCTCATTGCCTCGTAAGAAACTAACAACACTAGCTAGCTAGTCAGTCCCACATAGATATATTATGAGCAATTGCTTAACCATCTCTTTCATTTTTGTTTGTTAATAATGTAGCAAGTACGAAGAAGTTGACCAACTTAATGTGGCGGATCTTGTCAACATCGCGGGTACTAAATCCAGACAGGAGGTGCTCAATATGGAAATGGAGATACTGAAGAAGTTGAAATTCGAAATGGGTGCTCCCACGATACACACGTTCCTCGGTGAGCTTTGTGAAGTTGTTGCTCAAGAGGAGATGATGGAGATGAAATCGCAGCTCCACTTCATGGCTTCCTACGTGGCTGAGCTGAGTTTGTGGGATTGTCGTCTCGGCTCGGAGTTCTCTTCGTCTCTAGTTGCTGCGTCGGTGATGTTTCTTTCCAGATTCATAATCAAGCCGGATGTTCACCCTTGGGTTAGTGACAAATTCATCAAAACCTACTAGGCTACTACCACATTTTAGTTCATATATTTTCTGTTTTTTTTTTCCTGGCCAAAAGAAGTGTCTAACTTAAATAGTTTTCTCGATGGAACAGAATGATAGCTTACAACGCCACTCTGGATACAAGCCACCACAGCTAAAAGAATGTGTACTTATCATGCACGATGATCTGAATTCAGGCAGAAAAAGAAAACGCGACGACGACTCGGACTATGTGCGTACCAAGTATAGCACGGAAAAGGTAAAGATATGTGCTAGCACGAAAAAAGTTGTACATCTGTTTTTAGTTGGAAGCTGATTTTGTTTTGCTTTTTTTTGGGGTGTTGGTAAACAGTTCAAATGTGTAACTGCTGTGGATTCACCGGGCGAGATACCTCTCCTATTCTTTGAAGATACGGCTTTCGAATCGAAGAAGGTCCAGTGTCCTAATTCTACATTATGTTCTTTGGCCACCATTAACACAATTTCGAATAACTTCTTTCCCTGCTTTGATCGGCTTTTTGCTTGGTCGCCTGTAATACTTCGACAACGGGCGCGGAAACGACATAGGGGAAACTAGAAGGATGATTTGGAAGAAGAAGAAGAAAAAAAAAGCCACATATGTATATGGCTAATAGGATTGAATAACGAGAAAATTATATTTCCCATTGATTTGTAATTTGTATTGAATTTTGGGATTGTGGATATTTCTTTTTTGCTGATCCGCCGCGAAAACGCATAGGCCGCTCACTCTTGGGCTGCTTGGGGCGATTCTAGCAGGGAGTGCGGCGGGGCGACTCGGCGGCGAGCACGGCTCCGGTTTGCAGCAAATTCCTCAGATCACGGAACGGCACTTCCTGTTGATTGTAGTGGGGGAGAAAGAAGGCAAACGGGAATTTGACATGCGATGTGTTACCGTAGTCTGTGGATTGATTTTCGTTTGAGACAGGAGAATTTGACACTAGTTTAGGAATTAGCAAACTCGAATAGTGACACAATTTTATGTAAAAACTAGAGTTGTTTACATCATATGCAAGATTAATGTGTGTTACAAAGTTATCTATAATATATTGATAGACAAATAAAACGAGTAAACATGAGAGTTTTGAATTTGAGCGTTATGAATTGTGTACAATATTATCATTTTGCAAGCTGGCTCCGCCACTTATCCACGCATTGTGGAGCATTCACACCATTTGGTGATTATGCGCTCCGTTTATTCACGTGAGAGTTGTGGTTATTAATTCACTCAAATGGAACCCCAAACTTTTTCTATGTGCCAGGGACCGCCCATCCCCAGGTCTCCCCCGACGAAACTCCAGCGGAACCACCGACCCGTTTTGGCCCCTGGATGCAAGTTACAAGGAAATTACGGAAAACTTCCAAATCTGGATCTACTAATCCGGGCAGGGCTCCTCACCTTCCTCCTATGGCTAACGCGACTTCTGGAAAATCCCAAGCAAAATCAACTCCGAAAGAGAAAGTGGATTCAAAATCAACAGGATTGATGGAAACAAAAGGGAAGGTGGATAATCAAACAACGAACAAAAAGGGTCCATCTTCGAAGCAGAAAGGGAAAGAAGTGGCGAGTGAGGATCAAACTCTAGGAGGAAAGTCCCAACCTGATAAACCAGTGAAAGAATGGAGAGCCGTTACCCAGCGCGAGACCTTAAGGGTTCAAGCCCAGGCCCAGCCCACTAAAGCTTCCGCATCAAATTCATTAAAGGTCGGGCCTGCTGGAAAAACGGGGTCGGAAACCCATACTATTCTGGGCGCCAACAACACCACAATCCACATGATCTCGGTCCCTCCTCTGCCCTCAACCCTCAAAGAAAACAAGGACCCCAACTCTCAGTCTCCCTCCTCAGTTCGACATCATTACCGGAAGAAGCAAAAAGATCAATCGCCGGCCAAGGAGCTCAACAGAGGAGTCAAGCTGAAAGCGGTTAAAAAACCACTTTAAGTGGCAATTAACAAGCGGGAGTTGACCAATAGATTAAAAGAAGCCTCCTTCCTAGTCACTATCAAAGCCATCGAGGAATTTATCGCTCAATCCCAACACAAGCAAACCGATTTTCAGGCTACGAAGGGAAGTAAAGCTGGTGATGTCGTCATGACAGAGACCTTGGAGGACAACCCGTTAGCTCACTTGACATTCTCTGGAGAGACCCATAGCAAATCAGTTGCCACTCTGTGACTGTCGATTATGGCTGCTGTGATTTACCTCTTTGCCTTTCCCTTTTATTCTATGTCCATGTCTGCTAACCCAAACTTCAATATGCTCGCTTGGAATGTCTGTGGAGCAGATAGCAAGGAGTTTAGGAGGTCAATCAAATTCCTCATCGAGACCTATAAACCGCAATTTCTTCTCTTATTTGAACCTCAAAGCAGTGGGGATAGAGCAACGACCGTTTGCAGCAAGCTGGGGTTCCCTGAGGTCTTGCGCGTCGATGCTGTTGGGCGCAAAGGAGGGATTTGGTTAGCCTGGAAACCTGATATCTTCCAGATTCACCTTGTCGAAGCCAGCCATCAACATATTACTGTTCGGGTCTCTGGCCAGGCTATGCCTGATTGGCTGCTTACTGGTGTTTATGGAAGCCCTGACTATAAATTCCACACTCTCCTCTGGGAACAGCTCCAAAAAACCAACGATCTTTTTGACATCCCTTGGCTTGTGACAGGTGATTTCAATGTTTTCGTTCCCCTTCAGAGAAGGCAGGACCAATTTCCCAAGCAGCCATGAGAAGATGTCAAAGATTTGCGAACTGGATGGATGCTGCCAAATTGCTCGACCTGGGATTCTCAGGGCCACGATTCACATGGTTCAGGGGAACTACAGATTGTACGCATAAGGCTGGCAGAATCGACAGGTCTTTGTGCAACTCTAATTGGAACCTGGCTTTTCCTGATAGCTCGGTTCATCACTTACCAAGGCTGCACTCGGATCATCTCCCTATTCTTACTTCTAGTTCCACTTTGTCTAATCCCCATAGCACCAACAAACCTTTTCGGTTTGAGGCAGCTTGGGTATTGCACAACCAGTTTGTTGATTTTTTTGTAGATTCGTGGAAAAACGACTTGGAGCTTCATCAAGCCCTCAAAGACATCTCCCCTAAACTACAACACTGGAATAAGGCGGTTTTTGGCATCATCTACCAGCGCAAGAAACGACTCCTGGCCAGGATTCTCGGGGTACAAACTAGATTGGCCTCGGCTTTCAATCAGGGGTTGGTTAAATTGCAAGCCAAACTTGAAGCTGAACTCGATTTACTCCCTGCCCAAGAACAAGTGATTTGGTATCAAAGAGCCAAGGAGAAGTGGGTGAAGCTAGGTGAACAAAATACGTCATATTTCCATCAGCAGGCTACAAGACGGCGCAGAAGGAACAGAATTTTGGCTCTGCGTGACGACAATGGTGACTGGATTAGCGAGCCTGTTAAACTGCTGGACTTAGTGGTGAACTTCTATAAGATTCTTTACAAGCACGAGGACGTCCCTTATGAAGATCTCATGCCCAAACATAGCTTTCCAAGGCTGAAATTGATTTTACAATAAAGTCAATAAATAACATGCGTAGATAATCATTATTATTGGTGTGAATAATATCATTATTATTATGTGAATAAACACAATATTGCATGAATTAAGTGATGATTGCACTCACAGTAAAAAAAAACAGTCAAAAAAGTGATGATTGCACTCTAGACACAACAAATCATGCATGTTGTTATGTTTAGCAGGATGAGTAAGCTTGGTTACTTAATTTTTAGTAATCACGGTGGCTACCTTAATCTACACCATTCATTATTTCTTTTTCACCCTAATTTTAAATTAACGATGAAGATTATATCAGGGTAATTTTGGAATTAAAAAATATACCACACCTGATTACTCTATAAATTAGATCCAAACCCTACCCTATTGCAACCCGCCGCCAACCGTAACCTGTCCCTCCCGTAACCTCCCGCGACCCTCATCCCTCCCGAGAACTTCCTCCACCGCCGGCCGGCCTCCCCTCCACCACCCTCCTCCCTTCCCCTCCTCTCTTGTAAAGCAGCGGTGTCCGGCGACGGCGACGAGACACAACGGAGCTCTCTTCTTCCGGCTCTCGGCTCTTATTCTTCTTGCTGGCCGCGATTTTTCTTTGCTTGTGGCCCACCTAGAAATCACGGCTTAAGCCCATAAGCCCATAATACTCCCCGGAATCACCACCTGACCCCTGAACCTCCGGGGCCTATCCGCCGCCGTCATTGTTCGAACTGCAGCTCAATCACAGACCGTTCGTTGCACAGCTCTAGCCTAGCTTCAGCCGGAGCTCCAATCTCGCCGCCGCTGGGAAACTTTCCCAGAAGAATTACAGTATAGTACAGAGTTTCTGCTAGTTTCCGCCGCTGGACTATATTTGCTTTTTAATGGCAATTGGAAGGAGGAATTCCATTGGAATGGTATGTTTTTTTTTTAAATGGTAGTCATTTTTTTTTAGTAGTGATTTTTTTTAAATGGTAGTCAATTTTTTCGTAGTGGTAGTGTTATTGTTGTATTGGTATTGTTTTTGTCGCATTGGTATTATTTTTGTCGCATTGGTATTGATTTTGTCGCATTGGTAGTGATTAAATCTGCAATGGTATTGATGTTTTGTGAAATGGTAGTGTTTTTATTTCTTGAATGGTAGTTTTCGTGTAATGGTATAAATTTATTTATGTAATGGTAGTTTTCGTGTAATGGTATAGATTTATTTCTGCAATGGTATTGATATTTTTCAAAGTGGTAGTGTTTTTCTAATGGATTGGTACTGATTTCGTTTTTTTTTTTTTTTTTTTTTTTTTGCAGAAAGATTGAGAAAAATATGGAAAGGAAATCTGGCTGGAGATTACGGAAGTGAGAGAAAGAGAGATTTTTAATTAATAGATTTTTGTAACTACCTTAAATGTAATTTATTAAGAAATTAATTAATATAATTTATTTTTCCATACCCAATTTACCCTTAGTAATCACCGTAACCTGTCCCTATGTTTAGCTCTTGATTAATAGAATAATAAATGGGCAGCCATTAATGTGAAACCAACTGCACCGTCCATCCATCTCGATGTATCTTCAATTCATCATCTTCACTTGTCCCTCCATTATTTGTTTCGCCCATTCCTTGGTAATAACTGTGCACATCGTAATAAAAAAAAAAACTGTGCACATCAATGGCCGGTTTGGATCGCTTTTCTGCGTTGGGAGTGTTCATTTGTTCATCACAAAAAGTGAAATGGTACTAGCAGTGAACGTGGAGTTATTTTTATGTTCACCAACAGATGTCTTTCCAAATACATTTTAGCGAACTCCCAAAGTAATTTCTCCTCGCATAATTTCAATTTAGCTAATTTCTTTGAATCTTGACCCTTAAAATATATTAAAATTAATTTAGAGCATTGCAATTATCAAAATAATAGTCACCGAAGCTACCGATCACCACTTATTGACCTCTTACAGCGGTTACATAATTAAAATACACCTCCATTACGTAAAGGTTACGAAAAGACGATTGTTTCTTACGTAATAGTTAAATCACAAATGTTATATTATACTTCCGGAATGGGTTAACACTTTATATAACACAAGGTTGATTTTTATTACGTAAGGGTAGTATATCATAAATCTCATCACAGTTCAAGATTACACATTACTTAAGGGTAGTTTAGTATATGCACATCTAATTGATGCATTTAGCTAGTGAATGTATGCATTGTATAGAATCTATTTATTTTTTTCAAAAATGAAATTCAATACATGTATTCTATTGTTGATGTAACACTTAGAAATCATTCAAAAATGATATACAATCTCAATGTTTTTGGTGAGATTATGTTTTGTGATTGTGAAATAGAATTTCTTTCCCTGTACATCCCTATCCACTTTTGTACGTATATGGTTGATTTGTATTTGAATAGCTAAAGGAAGGATAAACATCAATTCATAAAAGGTAATTTTCTGATATTATTCCTTAGATTACCAAACCATAGTAATCTTAAAATGCACACATGATTAAACAATACATCAATTTATAACACATAGGTACTTATATAATGCACCAATTTCGACAATCGCAGATACCAAAAGGTCTATAACGAAGGATGACAATGGACATGTAGACATGGTTCATTATTGTCTGAATTAGTACTCGCTCGCTCGCTGTTACACATCATCTTCAAGTAGTACGTATCGTCGACGCAAGCTAATTAGTATGAACTGCCAGTAAGTGCGGCGAGGCGGCCGGCGGTAGGTGGCTCGGATTAGCAACACGTTCCTCATCACAACGCGGAACGTCCTCCTGACGCTGATCTCGCGCGGCCGCCTTTGAGGCTTGGGCGCCCAGGGACACTCCGTCGGCTCTGGAATCCGGTGCTCCGGCCCCTTGGGAGTGGAAAACCCATCTGCCACATCGGACACCCGAGACGGCGATAGGTTCAGTGCTGCTGCTTCCGCGGCATCGCCCATGTCGATCGGCCGGAATTGGGTTTGAGTGCGGAATTGGAGAAATGGGAGTGTTTGAAAGGAAAGGTAATTGAGCGAAGGGGAGGGGGTGACTGAGAGCCCTATTTATGCTACTTTTATTTTTATGATTTAAATAAATGAATTAATTAATGATGGGCTGGGCGGCTAAGCAAAAGAATTCATTATCTATCTCTTCTTGTCTGACCCACAATCAAATCAAATTCATAAATGAAAGAAAATTAATACAATCGCCTCTTCTGTCCCCCGTCCCGTCCTTCATAATCTCACTGGCACTTGTCGATGATATGAGTAATGGCCCTTTTCCCGCCACATTTTCTCTCCCAAGCAATAATAACACTGTAGATGAGTAATGTGCTTTCCCGCCATCTCCCTCTCTATCTTTTTTGTATTATATATTTGTGTTTCTATAGAGGATTGAAATACCGTATTTGAGATTATACCGGAAAAGTTAGCGGTATGATATTTTACGCTAAAACCATGGTTTAAGCGCTTCATATCGTCTAAAATCGCCTAACATTTGGAATCATGCAATTGATATCCCTTATCCAAATGGATGATAGGCTAAGGTTTTTAAAAGGGTAAATACAATTTATCAGCTAAACGTGCCAAACTTTTTCAAATTATTATTCAAACCTTTTAAAATACAAAATATTAGTGAAATGTTAACTTTCTCATTAATAGTTTTATTAACAATATTGATTTGACAAGGTAATTCGACTCGGGAGAGAGGTGTTAGTCAAGGATTCTACATGTGGATCGGTTCACCTATACTTGTCAGGCCTCCCTGAAAATGTCTCAGAAAATCTGAGTTGTAATTGTATCTCTGATGAGTATATATACAATGAAAATTCAACAAACAGTTATTCCTATGGAAACATGATTCCCCACTAACGTAAACTAAGGAACTACTGAACAGAATACTAACAGTAACAAACGGAGAAAGAAGGAGAAGTGGAGAGGTAGTTGCTGAGTGTATTTCTCCCTTATCACGCCCCCGCGCGCAAGTGGAACCTCGGCGAGGTGAAACTTGGAGTAGAAAGGATTGAACGATAGCCGATGGGTAATGACCTTGAAGGTGCTTCTTGGCGATCAGCTACCTCTTGGAAAGTGACTTGCAGGCGGACTGCTTCCCAGAAGAATTCTCAACGCAGAGGAAGGAACCCCGAATTGGCCCACACCCAATTCTTTCCTGATGGTGTAGTGGAGCTTGACGTCCTCATAGGCCTTCCCGAGGATGGGGTCAGGTCTGCACACCCTTGCTTATGTAGTTACCAATGTAATATCCAGCTTCTGCAGATAGCTTATCAAAATTATGGATCTTCCAGTGGAAGAAGAACAGGAGGAGAAGAAATATGTCGTCAAGAGTTGAATTGAAATGGGGAAGGGTGGGTGTTGATGAGAAGAAATATTTAGAGATTATGAGACAAGAGAACGACAGGAAGGAAACCAAGGAAACAAGAACCTCCAAAATACATATCGATTATGGTGGAGGGGGGAAGAAAGATATATTGTAGAGAGGAGAGATTGACTGATTTTGAAGGCGTGAGTGTGGGGATGAAGAAAAGAAGGGTGCAGGGGGTTAAAATGAGGATTTATAGCAAGGGAGAAGAATAAGTAGAGTTGGTGCTAAGAAGTCTCCTGCAAGCAAAACAGAGGATGAAGACGCCTCCGAGACACGAACTGAATGAACAGGTCGGTGAAGCTGAGATGGCAGAGATAGAGGAAAGAGAGTTCGGAAGAAAGGAAAGGGTTTTGTAAGAGAAATGCAGCGGTGAGATCGAAGGAAGAAGTGAGCTGCAAAGTTTGTGAGAGAGAGAGGAACGCCGACTGGGTTATGGTTCTCTTGGACAGACGGACAACGGGACGAAGTAAAGGTTTTGGATTCGTCTTTGTTCGGAGCAGGATTAGAACTTAGAAGATCGAAAGGAAAACAGAGGTTTTTGGCAAGTGGGGAAGGGGGCTTCAAAGAGGGAACGAAGTCTTCATGGCGAAGTTTAGGAGAGGGGAGTGCAAAAGCTATTGCAAGCAATTTGTGGTAACAATTCTTATGGGGCGGAGTCGCAAGAGAAGGCTTATAGATAGAAAGGGAAAGATTGGATTTTGATTGGGTCTGGGACTAAGATGAGATAGATGCGGATCCTGCCGACTTGCGAGCGTGGAGCTTTGACAGGATATACGGACAGACGGTCGAATAGACGGCGGACGGGCAAAGATTCTCATTTGCGAGTGAATGATTAAAGCGAGCAGACTGGATTTGGGAGAAGAGATTTGTCACTAGCTAGGGATTTCAGGGAAAGGAGATAGTTGGGACATGGGGAGCTTCTCGAATGATTTGGGAGAAAGGAAAACATAGAAGTGAGATTTTGACTGATCGATGAAGGCTTGTTAGCCTAGAGAGTGGGCGCACATCGCAACGGCGAGAAGAAAATAATGTGTTTAGGCTTACTGGATCGGTAGGTAGACTGTTAAGCAAAAAGCTCTGATACCATGAAAGTGTCTCAGAAACCTGAGTTGTAATTGTATCTTTGATGGGTGTATATACAATGAGAATTCAACAAACAGCTATTCCTATGGAAACATGATTCCCCACTAAACGTAAACTAAGGAACTACTGAACAGAATACTAACAGTAACAAATGAAGAAAGAAGGAGAAGTGGAGAGGTAGTTGCTGAGTGTATTTCTCCCTTATCACTCCCAATGTCTTACTTACAGTGCTGTGGCCGATTCTACGAGCGGGAGGTAGAGAGCCCATTTTATTTACAAAAATGGGCAGGCATATTATGTCATCCAATTACCCTGACTCCGTTCGGCCCAATAAATCCATCTTTTGGACTGTTGACTAATGATCCAGACCGAGTGTCCCCTGCTCCGTTTGCTTGTTCAACTAATCAACTCGATCGAATTTTTCTTACACCAAAGAAGTCTCTGAACGGAAATACAAGCAGACACTATAAAGAACAGACATGATGAGCAATTGTGCGGAAAGCAATTCAGCAAAGCTTTTCCACATTATTTACGGACAATCACAGAAACAGCACCAAAATGCCCCACCACAAGGAAGAAATGGGACAGAAAGGATCCAGCTTTAGTGATATGCTGGTAGCCCATGATGCCATAACCCCCCACCAAGAAAAAAGATATGAATGTACCTGCATGCCAGAAGCTTCAGCCGCAGTAAGGAAGCTAACATTTCACCATGGAATAACTGGTTGTGTTTGGTAACTGGGGAATGAATGAATACATACACAGATACAGATTAAATGTATTTAATTTGAAAGAATAGACAGATCCCAATAAGTTAAAGAAGCTAGAAGAAATTACAAGTAAAAAAATTCATGGGGAACCCAGAAAAAAATTTAACAATGTTGTTATCGACAGCCACCACCCCCACTAGAAATTACAGACCCCTAAAACCCCACTCTCAACAAACCCAGCAAACCGCCATGAACAAAGAGAATGCCTCAATACAGCACACCAAATACCAGCACTAGCTAGAGAGACTCACGACTTCTCAGAAACAAAATCAGCTGAAGATGGAGATTGCAGCAGATACAAAGTACAACAACGTGACCAGTACGCTAAAGTTGCCGGCTTTGAAGAGCAATCGTGCTGCAGAAGAGATGTCTTGTGGCCTGCAAATTGGGGAGACAGAGAAGAAGAAGAAGAAGAAAGTGTAAAGATAAAGCGGCTCGATTAGTAAAAAAAATGTAGACAAGGGGAGGGGAAAAATGGGTATTTAGATGCATACTTCTGCATTTTGCCAAGGGCGCCACAGAAGAGTGCGTTGTCAGGGATGGGGAACTCGGTCTTGTTCGTCTCCTCAGGATTCACAACTCTCACGTAAGTTTCTTGTCCAAGGTACCACGAGTCAAGGTTCTCTGATCTCAGGTTCCACACTCCAACATTGTCAAGTGATACCAGGATTGCAGTCCATGCTCCTGGATAAACCTGTCAGCAATGAGTTGAGACTGTGTTAATAACTTAAGCATAGAATGATCAATAGCCATCAAAATAATATTGAGTGAAATAGATCTGAGGACATTACTTGCACAGTTGTACGGGCAATGCCATCCCACTTGTTATATGTTCCCCTGCTGTTTTCTGACCATTCTCCATAGTCCATCCTGAAAGAAACAAATCATCATGAGCAAGTCATTGAGAAAGGAAAGTAAGGGGTCGTTTGGAAACCAAGAGTAAACATTCAAGGAGTTCCTACCCAACAACGAAAACTGCATATCCACTAAGGTGATAGCTCTGCATTCTGGTCTCATTATTCTGAAGAATAACTTCCATGAATCCTCTGTACGTCCCATTGATAACCGATGTCTCCAACTTTGGTGGTCCAGTAAGCGGTTTATTTGGGAAGTCAAGTTTATACACTCCCTTCACTTTAAACTGATCAGCAAGTCTAATTGGAGTAGCAGGATTGATAAATGATATCCCACTAAGCGTCGTTCTTTTCTTCCCATTAATCTGCACCGGCGGCACGTTCTTCAGCACATACACGTCCGTGACATTGATCGAACCGTACCTGAATGAGCCCTGTGGGTTGGGACGAGCTCCACTAGCAGAAACATTCCATCTGATGGATCGAGCTTGGTTCATGGAGAAAGTCTTGTCGAACTCATCTTGGGGCGCAGTTGGCAAGGGACCGCTTGCTTTCCCCTTGGAGTTGGTGTAGTGCAAGATGGCAACACCGGTCACCCTTCTCCATGTCGTCTCGTTGACCATTCTGGCACTGGCTACGATGTAGTAATCACTGCTTGCGTTCTGGTCCATGGTGACCAGGAAAGAATAGGACTGCCCTACGTGTATGTCTAAGCTAGTGTAGTTCTGTTGAACTGTGTATGAACCTTCTGATTCTGCTAAGAGCATGTTGTGGTTCTGGATCCTGAAATTCAAGCTGGTTGATACTCCGACGTTATGCACTCTCACTCGGTACGTTTTTCCTGAAACAATAGGCAACAAGGTCAGGCAAAAGACATTGAGTTTCCCAATAAATAAGTAGCAACTGTATATGTTGGTACATCTACATCCTTGACTCATAGCACAATACTGGCCATGAATACAGCCATGTGACTTCAAGCAATCCATTCAAAACCAAGATAGAGCAGTATAACTCCCACAGAAAGATCTAGCAGGGCAAATTGTACATATAATACAAGACACCAAATAAAAATGAACTCATGGCTCACAACTTCTTAAGAAATGAATTACCATTTGCCTAGTTACACAAATTTAGCAGTGCAAGTAACCCAAGCTAAGAACAAAAGAGTCACCTGGATGAACTGTGATTGTTTCATGGTCAATGCCATCCGGAACATATGTGGTATTGTATTGATAAGGGCCTTTGCCATTCATAAGAACTCCATCAGGCATCCCCAGATCTCTCCCTGCATCAAGGGCCCTCCTCAAAGCCTACAATCAAAAGAGTTCTGTCAGCATCTTAACCAAGAAGCCAACTACGAATTCTTCTTCCAAAACTTAACAATCACTCACCGTGTGATTCCTCTTGTACCAATCACCAATCATAATGACAATGTCTCCATCTGGAGTATTGAAAGGAATCGGGATAACGGCTCGGTTGTTGATAATGAAGCTTCCAAATCCACCAGAAGATCTCTGCATGTGGAGCGAAGGGAAGTAGAAGAAGCTCCCAACCTGATCTTTGACCTGAAACTGATAAGTCCAGTTCCACTTTGGTGGAATTGGGCAGTTTGTGCCAGGAAGCCCATCTTGCCATGAGCTTCTCCTCTGCTGAATTCCAGACCTAATCACGAAAACAAGATAACATGCTCACTTCCTCATATTTTAATACTAGAATCCGACATTACAACAGAAATTGAGAACCCACTAGACAAAGGGAAAGGGTTTCCTACCAATGCAGCAGGAGGTGCTCATCCAATTTGTTCCTAACATTGATAACCACGTTGTCGTTGGTGGTCACATTTATAATAGGGCCAGGGAACTTGCCATTTACAGCAATAACCTGCAGACAAAAATAAAAATACAAAATGTTAAAACCTTTGCTACTAAAATAAGCTCAGAATCAGTAACATTGAAGCTTGGGCGGTGAGTGTTGAACCAAATTTAGCAGATCTGGATATAAAGGCGGAAACTTTAGACAATCTAAAGCATACCCAGTAGTTAAAAGAAACGAACTTGAGCAGAATCAAAGGCCAAGGGTAACGTGGAAATGAGTGATGTAGCAAAAGAGAAAGAAAGGGGGCAAAGGAAAAACAGAAAGATCTAAAAGAGTAGGGGGGAAAAACTAACCTGCTGAGGCTCGCCAAGAGGTGAAGCAGTAATGTAAGAGACCTCAAAGTTGTAGAAAACGTATGGATCTCCAGCTGAGCATAAGCTCACTAGCAACCCAATGTAGACAAGGAACACAACGGCAAATACCCTGCACATAGCCATTTCCCTCTCTCTATCTCTCTTCTCTGCTGCTAAATAAACGAAACCCAGAAATTAGCTTGAGCTTGAGGCTTGTTCTTAAGACTTTTCTTTACATAATTTCCAGCTATAGGAAGCAGAGCAGGAAAGCAGAGGAAGTAGAAGAAGACAGAGAAGCAGCTAGAAGCTCAGAGAGAGACAGATAGAGGAACGGCTACTTTGACGATTGGGTAGTTTGTTTTTTATTGGGAGGGGACGGTTTGGCTAAGAAATGAAGAATTGGATGGGAGTGTGTGTAAAGCGTAAGCACAGTAGTATGAATTTTGGGGAGACACCGGACGCGGATATTGGTTCTTGGACATTTGTCGGTTCCCAGTCTTATTATTGACCATGGTTCAAAAAGGTATGTATAATTTTATGCTTATGCACATTTAGACGGAAGGTAATGGCAAAATGCCTTGCTTAGGAATTTCGCGCCTAATTAGATACTAGAACACGTTAATGGAGTACGACGACATATAAGTATCTCCTAAACATTACTAGATGGAGCTAAGAAGTCAATATTAAATACCAAAATTAACATCAACTATGAAATCAATTTCTATTGCAATATTTTCAATAACTCAAGAACTTTGTGAACTATTGAGCTATGATTCTATGAACTCGTAAGCTATATTCCTGTCATTAAGTGTTGAGTAAGTTATTAATCATTTTAACTGAAGTGAGGAAGTGTTGTAGATTATTATTTCATTCATCATACACTGCGAATAGCTATTTTCTTCCAACGCCTAGGCACACTTAGTCAACGCCTAGGCGAGCTAGGCACAAGGCAAAGGCTCAACGCCGGCCTTACGCCTAGCACCTTTTTGAACCTTGTTATTAACAGTGTTAGCACGAGCTTGAGGGAGAGAGAGATAGAGGCAAGGCAACTAGATTTTTCATTTTCCATTTTTGTGGCTTACGGGAATTGATGATAAAGAAGAAGGAAAAAATGAAAATGACAGCCATTAGCCAGTTCACTCATCGACAATGTAGTATTAATAAAATTTTTATTAATAATACACCAAGCCAACCTCCTTTTCGTAAATGATATTAAATCGGAAAGTTACAGAAAGAAACCTTAAGTTATTAGAGGCAATATTTGATCCTTATAGTTTTCAGATGCTACATTAGATCCCTAAAGTTTCCACTTATGTCCTTTCCATCTTCATTTTCCGTCAGTCGCAAATCAACAGAAGTTTGTTATGGAGAAAATTTCCTAGCTTATAAGTTAATCAGTTAAATGTATTGGGTTGCTTACCTTTTTATATGTGATCATTTTCAATAATGGTGTACTACATCATTATCTTATATAATTTTTGTTGATCCCTTCTAATCGCATCACCTAAGTGGGTATTGTGCTTAACTTAGCAGGCATATCTCACACATTCAACCTTCATTTATACATTGATGTGATTTGCCTGATGCTCACTTCCACTGTGGGAGATCCATGTCCCTTATGTTTATTGTGCATCCTAACCTTATAGCAAATCATCTAACCCATCGAGGCCCGAGGAAATCATGTAACATTAAATCGTTACTTTAATATAGTCACGATATAAAATCCTGATTATTGACTTTTTGCTGAATTTATCAGTGATACATGTATTGGGCGAGATCAGAGCTAGCAATCCAACCAAGGAAAGTCTTCAAATAAGGAAAGGTTGCTGCAATCACTCTCAATCATCTAATGGCTAGGTTTTTCAACAGCTAGCTTGTCTCTCCGATATATCCAGTCTTTCCAAACTTCTCAATATAACGTTTACATAAAAAGAAAAGTGGTATGGGGCTTGTTCTTGGTAAAAGGAAATTCATCTCCAGGGGTATAGGTTTTGTGAGAGTGACTGTAAACCGAGTTAGTGTTGAACTCTAGGTATCTTGCTTAGTATCTATTGTTTACTTTTACTGTTGTGATTTCGAGTCTCTTATCAAAAAGAATAATAGTGTCTCTCGGTTATGGTGTGGACTGTGGACTATTCGGGACGTGGACATAATTATTGTTGAGTGAACCACGTTAAAACTGTCTCTGTGTTCCATCTCTTTTCAGTTGCTTCTCTGCTTTCTGTCCAATGCTTCTGTTCGACTTCAGGAATTGGAAGAACGAACAAGCACTCGTTCCTCTCGTGTTTTTGTTGTTTTGGTTGAGCTGTCAGGCTTAAAGTACATTCTCTTGTTTTTATTCAGAACAGTGTGATTGGACTTCTCTCTATTTTAAGCCCACATTTACACGAGAAGTTCCCTAACTGTATTCCCAATTTGCAAACTCAATCCCTAATTCCCTTCCCAGATCGAATAAAAACATGTTTAAATGCTGTTGTGAATTATGAATTTCCAGAAATAATTGTCATTGGTTATGTAATACGAGTGTCGTATTTGATTATTATACAACTGTGTTGGTTAGAAACAAATGCTATTCGTAACCAAAAGTATAACTTAACAAATCTAGGGATCATATCCGAATTGTTCATAAAGAACAAGCATTTTGCTGGTTGGTTCTGGGTAAATGTTAATGCGGCGTGCTGGTTTTTACAAAGTATCTTTGTTTGCAAGTATTTTAGCTGTAGTTGACTGCTGTTTTCCTTTACCCTTTTTATAAAAAGAAGGGGTTCTTTTCTGGAGGAGCGGGGAGATTGCAGAGATTGTTGGAGGTTATCTGTTGGGATGGGATCATAGGAATAACAGAAATAGTAATGAGTCAATTTACTTTCGTTTTCTAAATTTTATAAGTTAAAATTGAGCGGGTTGGTAAATCATTTATGATTTATCTTACATATTATGTTTTCAAATGCAATGTTTATGCTTACTGTAAGTATGATTGAGAATGTAAGGTGTTACAAATGAGATATTTTGTGTTTGGTATTTAAAAGAATTCATTTACAATTCTCTGGAATTGGTACTAGTTATAGCAATTCCGAGTAATTGAGATGAAATTTCCAAATGAATTCCACAAGTATTTACTAATTATAATAAAAAGACATGATTATCCTCTTTTATTAAGTAAATTACTTATACATATGACATATCAAACACAAAAATTCATTTAACAATAAATTATACACTGCAATTCATTTATTTCTAAAGATTTGAATATGACATACCAAACACAAAATTTCGTTTGACAATTAATTCCACACGATAAATTCTCTATTCATTTGTATTTACCCCTGGCAATATCAATGAGATTGAATAACAAACACAAAGAACAAATAATATAGAGCTCACAAGTAGCTCAACCACCTTGCATTTGAGCACGCACGACAAAGCTAGCTCAATGATGGAAGGATGATGGGTAGAGATGACTGGATTCGGAATTGGGAATACGATATTTGAGATTTGGAGGAAGAATAGAGATTAGAAACTGGAGAAGGAGATTGAGATAAAAATGACGATATTTTGATAATTGTTCATTAACTATCCATACGAAATAAGTAAACGACTATATATAGACACTAACACAAAATCCTAATCGACCTTAAACCGACCAAAATACAATTGACTCTACCTGTGCATCTATCAACTCAACCCAATAAATAGGCCACACATACTGGCCCAAGGGCAAAGACTCTATAGTGAGATCGAGCTGAAAAGCACTTGAAGGGCCTTGACTTAATTAGAATGTTATGATCGGATGCACATAGTTTCTTGTCTAATCTAGTCCACTACTCACGAGGGTGCCGAGGATAAGCGAGGTAATTAGTGATAGAGACAAACAAGGGTTAGAACACAAAAGAACAGAGAGCATATATGGAGTGGTTGGTTTCCAACTCGATCCCAGGTTGTCTCCTTTCTCTTAATGAATGACTTGGGCCGATAGCCCTACATGCATGTTCCAACTATATAACTCGCCATTCCATTCTTTTTCTTTGCATGCTTACATTTTGTGTAGGGTAGGGAGTGGGGATAACACAGCGCAGCAAATTGGGAGGAACATGGCACCACTACTACGCCCTTCATTATTAGGGTATATCCAAATCCAACCTTTCCTTTTCCAACTCCAACGGCCATCTCCAAAGCCCAGCCTGGCACACCGCTCCATTTTGCTTTCGGCCTTTTCCCTCATCAACCAATCAATTTGCGATTCCATTCCATCTTGGTTGCCTCACTCTCTCTCTTTCTCCCTATTTTCTCCTTTATTGGAAACGGATTCAAAGCAGCAATATTGCATAATTCAAAATAATTAATAAGATCAGGAGAAATAGAACTAGAGTCGGTATTTGTACCGAAATTTAAAATCAAAGATCAAAGATAAAGCCTAATACTTTAGGCAAATCCCACATCGATAAAGCACGGGAGAAATCCATGATTCATAAGTGGGAAACCGACCTTAACTGACAAGATGCGTTTTGGGGTGAAATGGAGGAGTTTTTGTGAGAACTCCAAAGTTAAACGTGGAGTGCAACAATGATAGGTGATTTTATGCACTACAAGAAAAACTGCCTTCCGTGACCACTATAATTTGTCGCTGAAAGTGCAAAATTGGTTGCAGATACTTTTCTACGACCAAATAATTTTGGTAGCAGAAATGGTCGCTACAGGCGGGTTACCAATTCCTATGGTGACCAAAAAGGAGATTGGTAGCGGATAGAATGGCTATTGCAACCAATATTATCAATGGTAAAAATCTGGAATATATAGTTACCAACTTTTTTTGGTTGTAATAGTTCCGACTACAACCAATTTATTTGGTTACAAATTTTACTTTTAGTTACCAATTTTATTTTTAGTTACCAATCCTTTTGGTAGTGAACGATATACACAACGAACAATTATGGTCATGAAAGATACATACGTCGACCAATTAAATCATTAAAGACGACCATTTTCATGGTTATGAAAGTTTAACCCAACCATAAAATTTGGTCGTGAAAAACATATATGTCAACCAATTTTGTCATATTAAAGAGTTTAAGGCAACTATAAAATTTGGTCATGAAATGTACATACACCAACCAATAAAAACCGTTAGAATGACTAATATTTTTGGTTGCCAACATTTATCACAACCACCAAATTTGGTCTTAAGGTTCATATCCTAACCAATTAATTAATTATTTTAAAGGCCCATTATTGTTTCGATGCACAATGGTATTGAAAATGTGTCCTGTTCAAACTTGAGCTAATTAATAGATAAAAACGGTAGAAACTATTATTCCATACAAATATAATTTTGCATCTCATATATATAACATAGAGTGTGGATTAGCAGTAACAGAACATCTCAAAAAGAACAATCTCTAAGTGTCTAATTTCACATAGATATTAGATACCTTCATAACCCAATCCATAATTCTACAACTGTTCACTTCTTCTTGTTCTTGTTAACCTTCCAGCTTTCA